CCGACGCGCCGTTGAAATGCTCCCAAACGTGCAAACTCGACTAATCTGCTGCTTCAATGTGGATTCAGAACGGCACTAGAGTAGCGCTTCTCTATATCCGTTGTAGCTGCAATGACCTTTTCTCTGCAAACATCGCACGACTTTTTCAAGGACCTGAGGTTTCGGACCAGCTGTAGCTCACGCATCGCGCGTCTCCCCTGCTTCGGAATCCGACTACCTTGACCTGTAATGTTCAACATTGCTTGAAATTTTACCCGGGTGTCCACGATCACCATGCGCGCTTTTTACGTGAGCCGACAGGTGGCTAGACGTCATAACTCCTCCCTCGCCTTCGGGACAGTGTATACGAATAATGACACACTCCCCAAATCGGGACAGCGACACATAGGGTCATAACGCGACACATACGGTGAATTGCCGACACATTGGTGTGTTCCCAATGTGTTCCTGCTCTTTAGTGTGTCGATTTTACGTGTGTTCGACACATTGAGATGTGTCCAACTTCTCTTTTCTTTTTTTTTACAAGTCCTTCTGTGCCCGGGTAAATGGCAGGATAATATGGAAAAAATATGTATTCCTCATGTACGAGAAAAACAATTACTTATATGGGAAGGTATGCATACTATGTAGAAGTAGGAAGGTAGGAGGAAGGTAGGGACACCACCTGTCCCCTCCAATAATCCCTTGCTAATCTACAATTGGCGATTCCCGCACTGCCCTATCAACGCTGCATGCCCTCTCCCGAATACTAAGTCCTCGGCACCCGCACTCGTTGTCGGTGGATCTGGTTGTTGGCAGGCATTGCGGGTGTTCGTGTTGTGGCTCGCTTCATGGACGTGAATGTGGTGGGGGTACTCGCGTTCGGGCTGGTGTTCGTGTTTGTTCACAGTCGCATTTGGGGGATGGGAACGGGCTGGGGATCGTTGGTGGTGCTCTTGGCCATTCGTTGGTTGTTGTGGGCCGTTTGCCGGGGTTGGTGGTGGGCCCGCGTGGCCATTCGTTGTGGTGGGCACTCGTCATCGGTCATGGTGATGGGCTATCGTAACCATTCATCGATCCTGGTGGTGGGCCCTCGTCGATCGTGGTGGAGCCCTCGTGGCCATTCGTAGATCCTGGTGGTGGGCCCTGTGGAGGTTAGTGGAGCCTCGCCGTCGTCCGTCGATCCTGGCGGTTGGTCCTCGTGGCCAATCGTCGACGGTCGTGGTCCGCGCTCGTTGCGTTTCGTGGGGGTAGTGAGAAGAGAAGGGGTAGTGACGTGTGACATCGGGTTCGTCACCCCACCCGATTGGGATGTGTCCAACTGTGTCGCTCGCAAACTGCACACCCTCTCATCCTCAACACCGTGTCGAGGATGAGCCTTATCCCCTTTCGGGGAGTGTGCTGCTGTACGTATATCCTCCCTTTGGGACACTGCAAAGACCTATCAAAAATATCCGCGCGTTTTCCAATCCCTCAGTAATAGTACCAGTTTAGCTTTGGAGCTGTTTTTATGGGCAACTTAAAAGAATTGTACGTCGACGATGAAAGCAAAGCCATACTCAAACACGTCAAACATGTACATATCCGATTCTGTGAACAAGAGTCAAAAGATCAAGCAACACCCTGTGAGTACGCCAAATATTCAGTCCATATAAAGATATTCATGGAGTGTAACAAAGTTTTCCGACTTCACGGTGGATCGTGGACGATGTGTCCTCTATACTAACCCACAAATTCCAGCCGGAAAGCATTTTTCAAGCTTATTTCGCTCTTTCATCAATGTCCCCTGATCATCAGCGTAGACGTCCTGGCTTAACGGACATCTAAGCCACATCCCGAGCACTTGGAATGACTCCAGTTGATCACTCCTACAGGTCCCGTATTTCAATAGGAGCGTCGCCAGAAGTAGACTCCGGCGCTCATGCTTACACAGTTCTGCACATTTTTTATCATATCTGGATGATGCATGTGTACCTGCCACGCAGCTCAAGACACCGCTGTCCCCCTATGATAGGAGGTTGGCCCAGCGTTGTGCCGGTTGCGCAACTGTTCTGAAAGTCGCCGACTGTCACTGACTGTGACATTTCGCAACCAGACACGACCGCGACTTTGCGGGGTGCCAGGGGTGTCCTCATATATTATGTAATGTAATTTTAGGTGTAGAGACTTCTGAGATTTCGAGGTGGATTTGACTTTCTCACGATCTACAGTTGACTGTGAGTCTGTGACCTAAGGTCGGTGACGCAGAACAACTGTCACAAGTAGCACGCAAAATGGATTGTGGTAGATACGGAACATGATATAGAGGAATCTAGAACAGTGGTAGATACAGAATATGATGTAGGAATAACTGTGCAGCGTTAGAAGACCGCGCAGTGCGATATAGCACACGCCCAGAGGTAGGACCCCATGGCACCGCGCAAAGTTGCGAATGTTTGACCGTTGACGACCTTTGGTGACTCTCTCACGATTTACGGTCGGTGACTGTGACCTCAGGTCGCCGACCCGCACAACACTGGGTTGGCCCGGTTTCAATGGTGATACCGATCCTATACCCTCTGATCTAGACTCGCCTCCAGTCTCTATGGAATCAAAACCCGAGACTACAAATGTGTTTTTTTGGGTCAGTCCGGATTAGGAGGGTTGTGCACAGGTAATTGATTCCATAGAGACTGGTAGGGTTTAACCGTGATGGAGTAGATGAACTTTTTATTGCGTCCGAGTGAGCTAAAAAGGAAATATACGATGCACGTGCATGCCGAAATCAGCGCGACGCGACTTCAGCTTCAACGCTACACGCCCATCCTTGTTTGGAGGTTTAAATAAGGTCCAGACTCTGATCGTCGGGGACAATAGCCGTGACATCCGGAAATCATCTGCAGGTATCCCCTGGATACACAATTGCCATGTCAAGCAATGGCCGGGGACCGATGATACTCAAATGATATCATCTGTTGGGTGTCACCGCGATGTCTCAGGCGGAATAGCTCAGGAATATCAGTGTGACATGGATTAGTGATTCTTCTGAAGGTCTTAAAATTCTTTGTGTGATCCAAACGTGAGGCATGCTTGAGGTCAATGAACTGCCAGCACATCAGATCATCTAGATGTCCTTTATATACCAACTATTTGTCACTGTGTCAGTCGCAAATATACACTTGGGATGAGGCTGTACAGATCATATTTGCATTCACGAATTCAAGACACAATATTCACTGGATTATGGGCAAAGCATGTATCTTACACAAAGGACTGGATTATGGTTAACGCGTGTTGTCGAGACAGACTAAAGTCAGATATAGTAGTAATCAGATACGAAGTAGGCAGAAGATTATCAATTAAGGTGAGGCCTCAGATCCACTGTCTGCAGAAGGGGTGGTTGTGGCAGGGCGAGTGGCAGCAGGAGTTTGAGGCGCGGCAGTCGGAGTTTGAGGAGGCATGGCAGGAGGCGCTCCAGCAGCAGCAGAAGAAGATTCTGTCGGAAGGTTGTCGAGATTGGTATCACCGTAGAGGGCGCGGTCCCTTTTCAGGATGATGGCAAAGTATCTGTTGAATAAGCTTAGCTTAACTTGTGCATATCAGTTGAGAAGATGTGCTTACTTCGAAAGCTTCTTCGGTGTGTCGTATGCTGTGCGTGCCCGAGAGAGATCAAGGTCGACATCTTCCCAATAGGTCAGCTCTTTCTGATCTTTGATAGAGAAAGTTCGCGGCTCGGTATACATGGCGCGCTAGAAACCAAAAATATTAGCACCAGATAAAAGCCACCAACCACACAGACAACTCACGAGATACGCAACCCTGGCACACAACGGAACAGTGACTACAAGCTTTGACTTCTTGTGGGACTTGACTAATATCTCATCACAAAGATCCACGATGTTCTGTGCGTCAATACGTCGCTTTCCGAGCTCATCCGTTGAGTCCACCTTTCCAAGCGAGCCGCCAATCTATAGGGCCGTAGATGAATGCTTAGATGAATGGGAGGGGCCAGGAGAGAGGACATACCACAACCTTCATGATGTTCCGATGTCCCGTAAACTTCTTGCGGATGCGGCTGACAATAGTGTCGTACTTTGATTTGTCCTCTTGGATGGTGGCGTCGAGCCCCCAACTTGAGTTCTTCTCGAAAAGCTCCTACAATTATGTTTTATCTTCAGACACCACAAAGAATAAGGCAAGTAGAAATACCAGAAGTATCTTAACAGGAACCTCGCCAGTAAGGTAAGCCGAAATGCTTGGGTCCATTATGATAATTGAAGACTGCTGGACGATCTTTGACTGTTCAAATCTCTAATCAGTATCAATCGTTTCCGATGTGAGTGGAAACGAACCTCAATCTTCTTAGGAATATTGTAGACAACTTGAAGGTCGGGAGGATTCAGATTTGTTTGTTGCTCCGAAAGCTTGAGGGATCTAGCAGCAAGCCAGATGCTCTGCTCAGCAGGTGAAAGCTGGAATGGTAACTTATCAATGAAGAGAACATCGAGGGCATATGAAGAAATTCACCTTGGAAAAGACAATAAGTTCATCATGATCCGTCTTCTGGAGCTTTATGGAGCGAGCTATAGCATTAGCAAACTGTGAATTATCCTCTGCTGGCCGCTTTCGAGTGATGGTGGCTCTGCGTGAAGGACAAGGCGATGTCAAAGGAGACACCGACGAACCATGCTGATGCATTCGATTTGCAGACGCCGGTGTTTGAGGTGGCGGAGAGCTCATGTTCATTTGGTCTCAAATGCTCTGCATCCTGATGAAGACCGTTGGCGAGGAACGTAAAAGGAGAAAAAAGAGCGAGAGGTCATCCACGTCAAAGAAGGAGATTTGTTTTTTGACTTCAACATGAAAATCACGTGGTGTTCAGTTGACCGATTTTGTTGAAGTCCGTTCACCGTTTGTCGCAGTGATGCCAGCTGAAGAAAATAATGAAGGCGGCTTGGAAAGAGAAGGACCTGTTGACCAAGGTCTCGTAATCTCAAATCGAAAAGCTCGTTCCAATAACAGGGAAATTTTCAGATTTTGAGGATGTTGCCGGCAACACGACACAACTCAAATGCCTCACATGTTCTGCGAACTCTCGAGTGAGAGACACAATAATAAAAAGGACATCTAAACGCATGCACCTTAAATCAGCAAAGCATACAGAGGCACTCCAAGCGCTAGCTGAATGACTTGGTGTATCCGGCACTTCAGCTAGCACAACCACAGATCCACGGCCAGTCAGTGAAGTGCGTGTAGCTTCGATGACCTTCTCCCAGAGATTCCAAATGACGGAAAGTGACTCAGAAGATGAAGATCTCCCAGGCGTTCCCGATGCAAATCCATTCGATGATGTCTTCATGGACGGAGATGCATTCTTCAATACTGCAGGTCAACCAATTATGTTCACTGCAGGAGAAACCACAGACAGGCCACATACCGAGTTATGGAATGGTATGGATGCCCTAGAGCTCCACGACCATGCTGTCTTGGGCAAAATGTCAAAATCAGTTGAGGATATGTTTGGGGACTCGAAGGAAGATTCTACCATCTCTGCTGTTATCGCAGCAATGGATGCAATGGGTGAGGATGTCACAATGTTCGTCACGTTGAAGATCTGACGGTTTGCAAAGGACTCGACAACGAAGAGGAAGAAGGAGAGCAGTCAACACGTGAAGAGGATGCTGAATGGGCACCTCATGGTTGCAAAACGGTGAGTTGAGGCAGGTGAGTTGGGAGCAGAGCTTATTGATCGATTTATAGATGTTTTTCCTTGATCTGCTTGATAATCTTCCGCGTCTCCGTCTCTCTGATGATCACATGAAAGCCATCATTTGGGCAATGAAGGACATCAGGAAAATCCAGATCGCTAAATTATGCACAATTAACGTGATCAACCGAATTGTGCACAAACATGCACAATTCTGTTGGAACGTGAATAACAGAAGGAGTCAACTTTCAATTATGCAAGATTGTGTTCCATTCCAACTGAATAAAGCTCAATTTCCTCAGCTTTCCCTTTGATGAGGAAAGGTGCGAGTGAGTCCAATTACAAACCACACAAATGTTTATGGCACATATAGTAGTACTATTTTTTTGACTGTATCAGAATGCACTAAGTACAAAATGGAAGTTTGACACTACGATGGCAGTCATCTACGGAGGGGCGTGTCAAACTGAGAAGGGGTGGCATGTGAACGCACGGAACTCAGAGTCAGACACGATGTGTTATGACGACTGATATTGGGTAACTACCTGTGAACGCACGGAACTATGTACAGGTAGTAGTCAGTATAATAAAGTGAAATGTATATAAAGTAAACTCACCTCAGAGTCAGACACGATGTGTTATGACGACTGAGGTGAAGAGAAATAGGGTTTTCGTATTTATAGGAATGGGGACGGTGGCTTGCACAAAGACTGGCAAAGTAAACGTAAAGACTAGCAAATAACGGAAGTAAAAAGATGAATAGAAAAGAGAAAAAGGAGTAACAAACAAAGCGTACGCGTAAACAATAAGGTCACGAGACGTCTTCTTCAACACTCCCCCAGACGGCGAGGACCTAGAGATCCATTTTGAGTGCTCTAACGAGCTTTTGATGTGTGATCCGGTGAAGTGGCTTCGTAAGGATATCCGCGATGTTGTCCTCCGAGGGGACATGCACGACTTTGATCTCTCCGTTAGACACGCGCTCCCTAATGTAGTGGTGTCGAATGTCGATGTGTTTAGCGCGTGCGTGACCTTTGGTGTTGAGAGTAAGTGCGATGGATGACGCGTTGTCGCCGTAAAGTACAGCGGGGAAGTCGCAGGTCAAACCGACTTCGGACATGAAAGAATACATCCATAGAACTTGCTGGGCGGCACGCATAAGAGACATGTACTCCACCTCGGTTGTTGAGAGAGCAACTGTCGCCTGTCGTTTCGAGCTCCAAGAAACTGGCCCACCAGCCATAGTGAAGACGTATCCTGACGTTGAGCGACGGGTATCGATGTCTCCAGCATAATCGGCATCAACGAAACCGATGGGGGAAAGGTCTCCTCCCCTCGAATAAGTGATCTTGTAATCAATCGTTCCCTTGAGGTACGCGAGGAGGTGTAGCATTGCTTTCCAATGAGCAGGTCCGGGGTTCGATTGAAAACGTGAAAGAGCGCTGACGGCGAAAGCGATATCAGGACGTGTTGCTACCTGTGCCCACATACAGGAGCCTAAAGCTTCGCGGTATGGCTTATCTTTCATAAAGTGGTGATCTTCGTCGGTTTTCGGTGAGTCGGTTTCGGAGAGGGAGATTCCGGGAGGAAGTGGGGTGGATTTTGGATTGCAGTCGGCCATTCCGAAGCGTTCTAGAACGCGCTGAAGGTAAGCTGTTTGTGATAAAGAGATCGCACCAGTCTCTTTATCCCTGTCGACGCGAATCCCTAAGATGTATCCCATCTCCCCCACATCCTTGATTTCAAAACATCTCTCTATCTCGTCCTTTGCCTTCACCGCTCCTGCCTCCGTCAAAGACGCGCCGAAAACGTCGTCCGTGTATGTGCTGGTAACAGTAAATTCATCCCCATCAACCCGGGAATGAACACATGGATCCGCCATCGATTTGTAGTAACCAAGTCCCTCATACGCGCTCGACATTTGCCCTTGAAAATCGAACGCAGCTTGCATCATACCATATAGGGATTTGTCAACCGCTAGGATCTTTCCCTCCTCCCCCGGTTTGACAAAACCCTGTGGCTGGCGCATGTAAATGGGGAATTTGTTCGGGCTGTAGAGAAAAGCGGAGACGATGTCGACCTGCCAGATGTGGAGGCCGAGTGTGGCGGCGATGGCAGCCACCATACGAAAGGACTCAAGTCGAACGACAGACGCGTATGTCTGGTCGTATTCGAGGCCAGGGATCTGTGAAAAACCCTTGGCCACCAGACGTGCTTTTCGGCGAATAATGTTCCCCTCCGCGTCATATTTGTTAGCATACACCCACATGGAGTTAATGGTATGCGCGCCTGGGGGTGGGTCAACCAACCGGAAAACCTCCCTCTCCTTTAATATTGCCCACTCAGTCTCCATAGCCGGCATCCAAAGGTCAGGGCGTGCCATAGCCTCCTTATAGTTCTGAGGAACATAAGTCTCAGGGAGACCCGTCATGAATGCGGTCGTCTGAGGAAGGGGCGCACCAGTCCCAACAGCAGCGAGACGAGCAGACCTCCTAGGTGGGAGAGGAGTGGCAACAGCCTCTTGAGTTTCAGTGGAGGCTAAAGGTTGAGCTTGAAGCGGATGAGCATGTGGCGGTGGATCTGTAGTGCGTGGACGAGGTGCAAGGGGTTTGGGTGGAACAACGACCCCCGGTCCATCATCGACATCCTCTTCGTCCTCGCAAAGTACAAGAGGTGGAAGGTCGTCGAAGGTCGTATCGTGAGACGAGCTGGGCGAAGTTGTAATGGTGCGGTGAGACTGTCCTTCCTCGAAAATGACGTCTCGGCTTTTGATCGTGGTGCCTGATGCCCGATCCCATAGTTTATAGGCACCACGACCAAAATAGCCAATCAAGACGTACTTGATCGATCGAGGTGACAGTTTTGAGACACCTATCTCCACCGGGATCTTGGCATACGCCGTACACCCAAAAGGCCGAAGGTGAGATATGTCCTGACGCTTCCCTGTCCAGCGCTCAGCAGGAATAACACCAGGATGACGAGCGGAGGGAATGAAGTTGCGCAAATAGATCACAGTAGCCGCTGCGTCCGCCCATAACGATGGAGGTAGGCCGGAATCGACAAGAAGACAACGTACCCCTTCGATGATGGTTCTCATCGCACGTTCTGCCATCCCGTTTTGGCTGTGGGCGTAGGGCGCGCTGAAATCGATGATTATGCCGTGAGTCTTCGTGTATTCCCGCCATCTGTCATTGAAAAATTCTGGTCCCATGTCCACATGAATCCGGATAAGTTTCTTGCCCGTTTCTCGTTCCGCCTTCACATGGAATTCAGCGAATGCGTCAAACGTCGTCTCGCTGGCCTTGTTGGTCAGGAAGTATCCCTGACGGAAGGAGGAACCACCATCGTTAAAGACCATCATGTATTCGGCTCCCCCGGTAGAGCGGACTCGTGCAGGACCCCATAGGTCGATATACACGCACTGAAGTATGTCCGTTTCATGCACTATCAGGTTGTCGTATGGACGAGCAGTTTGCTTCCCACAGATACAATCTTCACACTTTCCCTGGACCTCAACATCTCCCACAATGTCGAGGCCATCGACGAGGCCTTTCTTTGCCATCTCAACAATAGACGTGACACCGGCATGTCCCAGGCGGCGATGCCAAACATCAACGGAGGTTGATTTACGGGTGTATTGCGTTGTGAGAGCAGTAGTCGGGGGTTCGATGTTTAGAAGGTACATGCCATTACTCCCTTCGCCTTTCATCAATAATCTCTGATTTCCATTGATGAGGTCATAGAACTGAACGCCTCCTCCTCCAAAAAGCGCCCAACATCCAGCAACGTCGAGTTTGCTGATTGACACAAGATTGGCAATGAGATCGGGAGTGTGGACTGCGTTTTTAAAGGTAATTGTCGTCCTCAGGGAACCCGAGATGATCGTCTTAGTCACCGCACCATGCCCAATGATGCGGAACTGACCGCCTTTATTCGCAGATTGACCTTCGTCTGGCTTTACAAGTGGGAAATACGTGGTGAAGTCCGAGCGCGCAACGAAACAGTGTTTGTTGGCAGCGGAATCGGCGTATGTCAGGACATTATCTTGTCCTGGTCCTGTTGTTGCGGCTAACGCATGAGTGGGGTCTGGGATTTCCAAATCCCAAGCGCCTTCTGGATAAGATTCGAGGACACATTCCTTCGATGCGTAGAGTATTTCCCCGAGTGAGTGAACCTCCATGACATCCCCTCCTTCGTCTGAATATATGTGTGCACCTTTCGTTAACAGGCAGTCGTCGCTATTAGCATCAGCTATGAGAGCAAGTGTGATCTCAGATGTGGGCGACGTGTCGGTGAGTGCTGCAGTTACAGTTGGGGTTATTGTGCGTGGTGCTGATCCACGAGCTCCCCCGCGTCGGCCGAAGTCCGGAGGAAATTGACCCTCCTTTCCTCCCCCTTTCCAGTAGCAGTTGTCTATGGTATGACCACGACGTCCACAGTTCGAATTGGTGCACTGGAGTTGATTCCGTCCCTGTCTCGCATTGGCTTGTAGTGCCGTGACCACGCTACTGGGATTTGTGACTGACTTCGAGCGGTCGATGCGATTCCAATGAATCATCAATCGACTAATGACATCTGCCGAAGATTTTGCCTCATACAGGGTCCCCACAATGCTGTCCCAAGAGATCGGAAGGGAGGACAGGATTATCATGCGGAAATCAGCGTCGCCGATTTTTGCGCCTGCGCTATTAGCGATTGCCCATTTTGTACGAAGGTTCGAAATGTGGGTTGGGAAGTCACCTCCATCGGTGAAGGTGGTTGTGCGGAGGTCGCGTTGGGTTGTAACGGCGGCAAGGTCAGATGAAATTTTATATTGCGAGGTGAGGGAATTCCAGGCTTCAGCAGCAGTTCCATCGAGCTTAAGACCTAGGCCGATTGGAATTTTGGTGTTGTAGAGCAGCAGCGCGCGCACCCAGGCGTCGCGCATCGCCCACTCTGCAACAGAGGGATTGGAGGAGTACCATTGTGTGGTGTCGTCGGGGAGGGGTATCTCCAACGGCGTAGGTGTGTACGTCAATGCGGTGGTTGGGGATGTAGGAGGAGCAGGATTTCGGATAGTGCCCTGTAGATATCCTAGTACGCCGCAACTGGTTGCTGCTATGACAATTAGCGGCTCCCATGTGGCAAAGTTTGTGCCGTCGAATTTTTCGGGATCAGAAAAAATAGGTGGGTTCGCATTTGACGACATTTTTGTGGGAGGTAATGTGGGATGTAATGTGGGATGTAAAGTGTGCTTTACGAGTCGCAAGTAAAAGTGGTAAAGCAAGTAGTGTCTGTAATTCCGTAAGTTTGTTAATGCGCTTCGGGGCCCATAACCTGTGAACGCACGGAACTCAGAGTCAGACACGATGTGTTATGACGACTGATATTGGGTAACTACCTGTGAACGCACGGAACTATGTACAGGTAGTAGTCAGTATAATAAAGTGAAATGTATATAAAGTAAACTCACCTCAGAGTCAGACACGATGTGTTATGACGACTGAGGTGAAGAGAAATAGGGTTTTCGTATTTATAGGAATGGGGACGGTGGCTTGCACAAAGACTGGCAAAGTAAACGTAAAGACTAGCAAATAACGGAAGTAAAAAGATGAATAGAAAAGAGAAAAAGGAGTAACAAACAAAGCGTACGCGTAAACAATAAGGTCACGAGACGTCTTCTTCAACATGGCAGGTACTTCTTCGCGGCAAAGCTCGATTGCAAGAGTGAAGGCCGTGGCAGGGATAAACACTATAATCTTAATGAGAAGAGAGCCAAAAAAGCGACACAAACTTGACAGGAATGTAATACTTGCAACCACTGAGAGGAGTGACAAATGGGTTCAACGCCGCCCATTCTCTTGAAGCCCAGCCGTCTGATCCTGAGAGGCGGCATAGATGAAGAGGTCACAAACACGACAAGTGTACCTCCACTCATTGTCATAATACAAAATGAGCTTGACAAAGTTCGGGCTCAACAGCGCCTGCGTCAAAGATGGACAAAGTAACGTGGCTGATGAGGTCGGTAGACACAACTTGGTCCTTAGAATACTCGACGTGGCTTTGATGGTCGCTTTGATCTCTTCATAAGCGCATATGTCGACGACGGATACATCCAAGGAGGGCACACGAAATGCGAGGTCGCTGTACTGGGAAGAGAAGGCAAATGTAAGCAATGAAAAGACACGGCGAAGGGAATCTTACGTGAGTTTCCCGTTGAGCAATTGCAAACCTTGGCAGCACCAATGGACGAAGGGATGATGTTGTTGTCGACGCTACGTCCCCGATGCTAGTCCCTGTGCGACGGTCCGTCAACGGTCTTCCGAGTCGCTGTGGTGGTGTGGACTGTATAATATTCATCAGACCTTCGTTGATACAAAGAAACACCTTACCAGGATGCCCAGTGCACCTGAGCATCATTCGCTTAACTACTTAGACGTCGTTGAACTTTTTCAATCACAAGTTGAAGAGCCCGGCCCTCAAGAGAATGGTGCCATACATCATCACGTGATGTTTGGTTGAAAACTACGAAGGGGAATTTCAGTTGCTTCCCTTCCCTCTCACCATCTTCCTTGTCCTTGTCTGCCTCCCACCACCCCGATTTCTTGCTCTACATGTTCCTCTCACCTTCTCCACTCCCCAACTTGTCCGTCTCTCGTCTCTCGTCACGACTACTCCCTTTATACTCATTCCGCTCATACTCCGAGTTTACCCTCGTCTGTGTGCTTCACCTCTTTCGCCAAGCCATTTCTCTCTGCCGTCCCCAACTTCTAGGCTTCAAAAGAACGCGCCAATTCGCTCTTCCCTCCTCCACCTGGCACCCATACGTTCAATGGTTCTGTAAACACGAATATTCAAGTGCCGGAATAAGCAACATCCCACAGAACAGCAGCTTTGGTAAGAGTTTATTCTCCACCTTCCACTTAACTAATTACTTCTCTGCCCACGGCAGGTGACTGACTGAACATCATTCCCCCACTTTGTATCAACATTTTTTGATGTTTCTCTCACTTCGTTGCTAATTTAGGCACACTTCGAAAGTAGAGAGTATCATGAATGGGGCACTGAGGTAAAGTTTTCTTCTTCAATATCGAAAAGCCTTGTCTAAACGCATTTTCTTTTCTCAAGCTATTTCGTCTGGCAATGGTGAAGAAGTTTCCTCATCAGCGTGCATCGTGGCAACAACTGTGGGATATCAGGTGTGAGTGATATCAGTGCTGCTGGCGTTGCGCTGGGTTTTCCCCAGTCGTCGTGTACCTTTACCCCTTGTCATGTACGTGTGGTGCTTCCATCAGGTGCATTTGTTCTCGATGACTGTGGCTTGAGTGTGACGATGAATCAGGTGCGTTTTTTCTCGATGACTGGCTTGAGTGTGACGATGACGGTCTTTCCAGCTCCCCCACTGCCAACAACACCTTGCTCATGGTTTCGTGAAAAAGAGCGACATTTTCAACATCGACTACAGCCATGTGAACCAAGTGACCATGTGGGCGCGGCCTGTCTTTGCTGTGCTTTTCGAGAACGTTCACCGTGTTATTTGAAACTAAAAGTGCGCTTCTTTTCTCTTTGTCACCCTGCTCACATGTCAGTCCATGCCGCTGCTCGCTTCAGACGAAGTCTGATGGCCTGCACCCTGAGTACTTGGTGAGCAGCTGGCGACAAGGGGTTGTATGTTGTGTTTTGCGTCGTAGTTCCATCCCTAGTCTAGACTACCTCATGTTGTAAGTTAGAGTTCAATAGATATTTGTTGATACAGTTCTCGCATTGCTGCCAATACAGGTCATATTGAGGAAGTGAAAGTTACATACTTCGAGCTGAATGTACAGGCATTAAGCAAAATTGAGCACAATCAAGCACAGTTAACGGTCCATGGATTATTTCCACTCAATTGTGCATAATTTGTAAAATCGGTTGATTGTGCATAATTGATGCATTTTGTGCATAATTCACGTTGATTATGCTCAATATACATCCCCCAGTTTTCCTGATGGAGTGCGGAACACCGAACGTTCCCTCTTTTAAAGCCCTGCGGAAGAAGCAGAAAGACCTGACAGAGCAGATGAACGTCCAACCGAAGATGCACACTTCAGCAATGGGGAACACATTCTGGATGAACCATCCCATCGATCTCCTTGCACTTGTAAGTCTGCAATTCCGTGGCTCATTGCTGTTCCACCTGACACTCTGATACAGGATTGGGCCAATCCCCTTGTGCGAGATTTCATCCACGTGTATCCAGAGATGACTTCGACTGTCTCGGAGTCATGGCAAGCTGCAAAATATCTCGAAGAGGTCAGTATGGATGAGTTGTCACCCATGTGGGCTGACTGGGAGCACAATCCACATCGACATTTCTATGTAGGAGAAATTGCTCAATTATGTGACAATCGCTTCGTCATTCCCGTGAGATGGATCCTGTTCAAGAAGGTTGTACATGCTGAAGTATACCAAGCTACTCGGAACGAGGTAAGCGATGCCGTTAGAATTTTGTTCTCAGTGCTTAAGATACACGGTCGTCGCAGGTGGGGCTCTTTGTCCTACACGATCCTCAGATCTTCCGCGTTGAGGCGAACACACTAAGATATAATTTACTTGACCTGCAGGTACAGTATACACATGTGAGCTTCCATCCTCGTAAGCTTCTAATCCTCTCTGCATGCAGCTTCGAAATTGACATGTTCTTGCAGCGCATTTGAACCATCCACACCTGAATGTAGTACAACTGCCGCACCCCGTCCGCGAAATTGCTGCTGGCCGACCGGTATTTGTGCTACGCATCATGCCTTGGGCAGATGATGTGTCCGGTAATCGCAGCAAGCAATACAACGCGCACATGAACATTTACGTAGCAAATGTCAATTTGCCTCACTGGAAACTGGCGCAGGAGTTCTTTGTCCGTTTCGTTTCAACATCACCGCATGCCTCATCATCCGAACAGTTTGATGCTCTTTCAGAAGACATGTATGTTGACTACAACTTGGTCTATTGGCACCAACTGATACTCTATTTCAGAAAGAGTGACTCATGGCATCCGGCGTACGACTGCACATTGAAAGAAGAGATCTTGTTCCGATTACGTGCTCACGTACTCCCTGCAGATAACCCACAGCAGGCGGAGTCATCTTCCAATGCAGGTAGTAATGCGAATTACTGGTGTCGAGCCGACATGTCAGGAGGTCCTGATGAGGTACGTGAAACCAATGAAGGTTATGATTCCCTCTTTCATGTACGTCTCCGTTTCAACTTCTTGTACTCTTTTTTCATACTTACGCGGTAAACTCTTAGCCGGGAACACCGTGCACCCCGGAGGAGACAATTACAAGCATCAAGAACCAAATCTGGACTGCATGCCTTGGTTCCCAGGAGGCTGTTGATACGCTACAAACGAAGACCGGCGTCAAGGATCGGACAGCAATATACTGGATTCAACAGCTTGTGGACAAGGCACGAGAGATGCAACAAGATCATCTATACAAACCGGGAATTCGAGATGCTCGTCTGGATGACCGCAGGATCAAGGGCCCCGAACGGGAAGCGATCAAGGCAGGTATCAAAACTGACATTCAGAAAGAGTTGTATGAATGGGTCTTTACCCAGCCTGCTGAACGGTATGAAGAGATTCCAATAGATGACCGTAAGAAATCTTAAACTCTTCCATAACTAATCGTTGACATCATGAACATTGTAGTTAGCCGCAAAGATCTCCGGCCAGGTGATCATTACAACGTCTTGTTGTGTTTGCCAGGTGCAAATACTTTTCTTCTCGCAGAAGAAGTTGCCGTTTATTATTTCCAGGCATCAATCCTCACCGTGATAGTCCTTGTGAAATCCTTCACACAGTGTTACTTGGAGTCAACAAATATATTTGGTATCAAACAAACAAGGTCTGGGACAAGAAGAAAGACGAGCTGTTCGCGACGCGGCTGCAGTCTTCTTCAATTGATGGTCTGACCTTGTCGCCCTTACGTGCCCATTACATGGCACAATACAAGAACTCACTTATTGGGAAGCATTTCAAAGCCCTTCAACAACTCGGAGTCTTCCACCTGCACGACGACTTATGCTCGAAAGACCTACTTAATCTCTGGAAGGCAAACGGTGAACTCGGCGCTATGACTTGGTTTCCGGAAATCAAAGACATGGATTCGTACCTGGTAAGTAATTCAACCCATAATGTTATTCTTCTAATGATGCCGTCTCAAATTCAGTCCGATCTTGAAGTCCTTATAAACAATGTCCTCGACTTATGGGCCGTTGTGGACCCATCCCACATCCAATACAAGTACAAGTTACATGTCCTGCCGCACCTGAAAGAAGATATCCGCCGATTTGGACCAGCTGTTCTCTTTGCAACGGAGGTTTTTGAGTGTTGGAATGCCGTCTTCCGCCTTTGCAGCGTCCTTTCGAACCACCAGGCACCAAGTCATGACATTGCTGTCACCCTCGCTGACATGGAGCGCTTCAAACATCAAGTAAGTGGCGGTTGGTGGAAGGATAGCTGTGGGAACTACACTCAAGCTGGGACACGGGTCCGGTCTTTTCTTCTTGGGAACAAGGAGCTCCAGCGTCGTTTAGGCTGGGTCAATACAGCAAACATTCAAGCAGGTGCGTTCTCCAGTACACTCGATATACGTCTCATGTGTTGATGAACGGTTATTATAATTGACAGGGAGCGTCAAGTTGAAGTCCAAGACCACGCAAGACCCGAAATCATGGAGGGACGCACTTGGTGCTGCCTGGACCGCCGAGACGGACAAGGAAGGAACCTGGATTGTCTGTAAACACGTCATCAGCATTGCTCAAGACGTCTGCATGATAGGCTCCTGGGTTTTCCTCAAAGATGTGAGTGATAATCATGCAACTCAAGTCTTGCCATTCATTAAACCTTCGACGCAAGGGCCCGAAGGATGCGCCGGCAGTTCACATGGGATGTATTCTCAACATTTTAGCGCCCAAAATGTTGCCGCAACTCACTGCTGGAACGGTCGTTCTGGTCGAATTATTCAACATTTCGGGAGCAAATGACCCTCATCTCAACATGCCAGTGCTGACACCATCCGGCGGCACTGTTTCTGCATCACCAGAGGTAAGTTTTGGCCGGATTGTTGTACCATCATCTCTGACGTTATCGCTATGAAATTTCGAAGGATATCCTCTTCAAATTCAATGCACAGCATGATTGCCAGGGCTGTGGCTGCACGGCTGTTGAGCTACTCATACGGCAAGGACGAGACATGACGCAGCGGACTCGGAAAACAATTCAGCACGCAGACAACGCCCGCTACTTCATCAACACACACGCCCTTCACAACGCCAACCTTCTCCGTGAAACCCTACCTCGGGAGCTGACAAAGCCTGTCCCATATTTTGCTGACCGCCGCGCTCAGCACGAGTAGTTTGCCGCACAGCTTCGGATCTCAGGACCAGCCAAGCGGGCAGAAACTAAAGCGAAGGCGAAGGCAACGAGGGAAAAGAAAAAGCAGGGCAGCAAGGAGAAGACATAGAGGCTATGTACACATAACTACAGACTACAGTCATTTCAATCCATCCACTTTGCGCTAATCAACGGCCATGTCTCTTATGTGCTATTTGAACACACAACATATATATGAACTGTCAGAGCGCGATGTCGTAGTGACTCTCAAAACCGATATCACTGAAATATCTACATGCCATCCAGCAGATAGCCCTGGATTGAGCTCCATTTGCGGCCATTTTGCGATCAAATCGAGGTCCGCCCTTGAGAACCGGTGAATACCGGCCATCAACATCTCGTGAATATCACATAGGAATGGGGGTGTAGCTTCAACTATCATGTCGCAGCGCAAACACATCTTCGCCAACGAAAACTCGCCTCCTCATATGCCGGGCCCCCTCCAAAAACGCTCTTCCGGCTTTGTCAACACTTTCGGCTTTCCTCTTAGCAACACACCGTCACAAATACTGTACTATTTCAACCAAGTGTTCACGATTTTTGGAAATTTTTCACGCCGAGATGGCCGAAAAATTTTCTTTCGATTTAAGACGAATTAAAAAAAATAGTTTTTCTGTCGATGTGACGTGTGACATGAACACTTGGTCGAAATAGTACAGTACCTTTCGAGTTTCTCGACGCATTCACACCTGTTTCAAAAAGAAGAAAACAACGAAAAGTCGCATCGGGAGAGATATAAAACTTTGGGTTAGGTCACGATGAAGCAGCAGCAGGGAATAGGAAAGAAGAGGAAAGGAAAGCAGCAGAGAAGCAGGAAAAGAAGCGGTGGGAAAAGCAGGAAGAAGATCACCTCAGCGCGGCCCTCAGGCTCATCGAGGGTGTCGGCTACCCGACCCTACACACCTACCTCAAATCCCTCTTCAAAGGATCAACACCGGTCCTCACAAGTGTCTTGCATGCTCGTGCAGCACGGCAGTTCCCTCTTGGACAACATTCACCAACGTCAGCCTGAGGTCGCTAATTTTATATTGCTTGACTTTATATTAGAATTATATTTTATTGAAAGCTTCACTCCGCATTGTTCTACGTACGAGACACGCCTCCAACATGCCTCACTGACGCGTCTTGCATGCATGCCCCAACTAGGTATTGGCATGTGCACGTGGATTGGTTACCTTTTTGGGTCACTTGGACTTTAAAAAAGTTCATCAGTTCAATCACGGTCAATCCCTCCCAGCCGTTATGGTAAGTATTCTGATCCCAAATCAGTATCTGACCATAACGGCTGGTGACGAGCCTACCTCTGATCCACCATTTTACCTAGGACATGTTCAATCATTCATAGCCAAGAGGAAAAGAGGGGACGCGCAGGGAAAGCCGGTGCCAGATCCACGCTTTTCAAAACGTCTTGGAAGCGTTAATATCCTTCCCACCTTTCAAGCTTTCCCAACCCAATCCGGACTTTTATCCAGGCTGGCTGTCGTTCCTCGGAAATGAGTCTCAACCTGGTTTCCTTTGGTTAGACGGACCACCATGCATTGGACATATTCAATATCGCCACCTTTCGCAGAAGACTCGTCAGTGACTCCGTCACCGTTCAAACGTTCGAGCTCAAGTTCGAAGACTCGGAGCAGTGAGATGTGCACCTACTTATGGCGGTCAGTTTCACAAGAGATGTCTCTGGGACAGATAGTGTTTATAGAGAATGAGCAGCCCAACTTCGACTTACAGTGGACGCGGGTCAAATATGTTATCTGCTGCGTAAATTCGCCTCGATTCTCGAATGAGACCCGACAATATCGGGCTGAAATATCGAGGGACAGGTAGATAGGACCCCCAAAAGTCCGCTTGGAGGCTGGTTCCCAAAATCGAGCATTTTCCAGTTTTTTATCCGTCCCAATTCCGCCGAAACCTGTCCAATTTGCACCTGGCCTTCGCCAGCTTTTCGAAAACTTGTCCGGACTTTGGGAACAGGCCTGTATGTCTTCCAAAAAGCAACATTCATCACGGTTCGAACCCAGGACCTCCCAGGACACACCACCGTATATCTCCCAAGGGGGTGGCAGAACGTGGATCCCGGATATAGGGTTGGGGGGGGGCGCATCCTAGGCTCGAGACCAACCGTTCTGGTGGCGGAAAAATGTATATGTGATGTGTGGGATGGAATTAGCCACCAGAACAAGGGGGTGGCGGAACGTGGAATTTGGATATACAGTCGCAAAAGAAATTAAGGCCCTAGTCTTCAACCCCCCCCTCCCTTTACCCCCCAAATCCAGTATGTTCTTCCCACCCTCCTATGTTTTTCTTAGAAGGAACCATTGGCTATTGGCAGCCGTCACCTCCGAACGTCCTTCACCAATGACAACGACAACCTTCTGTGGTTCTCCACGTTCATCAAAGTCGTCGACTGGCCCATCGCCATGCCAACTACCTATGCGCCCGACATCGATTCCATCGCCTTCAGAGTGTCGCACCCAGGAAACATCTGTAAACACCACACACGTCAGGACGTGCACAAGGCTGAGCAGTAGTACATGCGGCTCATCAAGACTCTCACATACACTGGCCTCAAGGCTGTTGGCCGACGAGGAGAAGCGCTTGGTCATCTCCTCGTCTTTTTGGGCAGTATATACATTTATGCAAAGTAGACAGTTTGTTTTGTTTCGCTGTAGAAGCTATTCTCAATTCTATCCATGTTTTTCCATCTGACTTTGAGATTCTATCAAAAATTACTGACCGAATATGTGTGCAACTTACTAAATTAAGCTTCAAGGGTGCTCTGGTAGTGTTCCAGACCATTTGAATGTTTTTTATTAGAAGGTCACAAAAAATTTTAAGGCCTCTGGCGGATGCCCCCCCCCCCAACCCTATATCCGGGATCCACGTTCCGCCACCCCCTTGCACCAGAACGGCTGGTACAACTTAACCGTGAAGGAGTACACGGGAATTTCGAAGTCCGATTATCCGTTTTGGGACAACGTGATCTCGACGCGTAGGCCTCATTTCGACGATTATCTACGCGAATATACATGAATTTACCACCTCTAACCTTTCCGTAATGTCTACTCCTCGAAAAAGATCTGTTCCCGATGAAAATTCCCCACCTGCCAGCACCTTCATTCCATACACTACACCACCAACATCAACTGTCAAACGAGTGCGGCGGCAGGTTCTCAAGGATGTTACACCTGCCCAACTCAATGAAGCACGTCAATCTTGGATCGAAAAACAAAAGGAAAGGGCTCAAGAGGAGGAGCTTAGGTTGAGGGAGGCTGAAGAAGAGAAGGAGAGGCAGACAACTGAGCGGTTGAGGCAGATGGAACATGCTCGGACTGCAGCAGGCTATCCGATGCTCTACGCGTATCTATCTGAACTCCTGGCCACCAACGACCGACAGCTTTCATCTCAGGTCACCCAAATGCTTTCTCATCACGGCATCCATATCATCGAGTCCATTCACCAGCGTCAACCTGCAGCAACAGATGCTTGGATGGCTGCTAGGTTGAAGACCCTGCTCGTCGAAGAAGGAGTTCAACTCGGCAGTGTACTGCAGCCAAACCGGGACAGGAACATCACAAACACTCTCGAGGACTTTTCCCTCGCCCACCTCTTGACTGACGCTCGAACCGCTGCGCTGAATTTTTTTTCTTTTCTTTGCGATCTGAGCGGGTATTCCGCTGATGCGACGCTCGAGCGACGCAAGAAAAAGGATGTTGTAAGCACTTTTTTCTTCCTTCGTCTCAGTTGGTTCTGACATTATTTAGGTTCTTAGCACCGTTATGTGTATCATTGCCCAAATGAAGAACGAAAAGGCAAGCACATTTCAGCTTGTAACAGCCATTTACCTCCTCGCAAGTGGAGCGTCTTGCTCGCTTTTCAACGTACTCAATCACGCTGGCTTCTCTCTCTCGTACTCATCCGCGATGGACAAGATCAAACTCATGGGGAAAGAACGGCTACAGTGCATCTGGTCCTTGGTCCGCGAGAAGGTGTGTATGGTCATTTGGGACAACATCAACATTGCCTTTCGCGTGAACGAGCAGCGACAAGCCGCAAAGAATCATTTCAATAACGGAACGACTGCCACTCTACTGCCACTTTTCGACATTCCTTATGGTTCCATCCCTCTTTCGGTATTGCCACCACGTCAGGTTCGACGGAATGTCTATGATTTCCAACCCCATATCGATCTTCTGCCAACCGCCGACCAAGTTTCGGATGGGTGCTAATTCTATCCACACTCATTTTTTCCCCACTTTTTCACACCCAAGGAGAGTCATCAGCAAAAGTTCAAGTTCCATGTCAGGCCTAGTATATATTGTATGGCTGTACTAACCTAGTGTGTCCCTTGTGTGGCTTTGGATGGGGCTTAACAGGCTAGGTATCCCTAGGATGGGCCTTGAAAACCTAGTGAAGCCTAGTATGGAGAGCAGAAGGCTAGTACAACCTAGTGTGGTATCTAACAGGGTATTATCATTCATTTATGTCAGTTGGTAGCATATCACTAGCCTAGCATAGCCTAGCATGCCTGTACTAGGATAGGATTCAGCTACATTGGTTGACCATTTTGTTTCGTTGTCAAATCATATTGACCGAGCGTTGGGACCGTGCCTACGGCACTTAACATTATAAAAGTTATGGAGAAACATACTAACAGCTACTATAACTACTAAACCCATTGTTGTAGTCGTCGTTCATCGTTGTCGTTGGCGCATTGTCCGTAGTCGTTGTTGTTCATCCGTTGTTGGTCGCCACGTCGCCGTCGGTAGGAGATGGGGAGGGGAGTCGTGATATTCACCCGGAAGTTGAATGTGGACAATGACGACAAAATGCATCGTCACTGCCCGTCGCCCCTGCTTCTGGAAGTATGAAAAAAGGAGAGGGAGGGAATCATGTTGCTACTCACCTGGATTATAACGTTCCCTCGCCGTCGGTTCGTGGCCATCCCGTGTCCTTGTCACGTTCTCCTCGTCCTGTGTTTTCCTCGTCGCGTTGTCATTGTCCCTTGTCCTTATTGTCCCACATCATCGTTCCGACGCTGTCCTAAGTCTCAGTGAGGTGGATTGGGATGAACATGGGACAGGGGTACTTACCTTGATGTCCTAAAATACACAACTCGTTCATCGTCGTTTGGTTGACATGTCGCTGTCGGCGATGTGGCACCTGGATTCCGTGTTAAGGAGATGATTGGGGGGGGTGAGGTGAGCTTACCGTGTCCTCCTCGCGTCCTCCTCACCGCGTCGTTGTCGTTTCACGTTGTTGTTCCGTGGTCGTCCTGTGTCTCAGCAGGGTGGCTTGTGACAAATGTAGGACGGGGGGGGTGCAGTCAAAGTAGAGTGATGTGAAGTAAAGCGATGGAGGACCGGAGGTATGTCGGACTTTGGTCGGACTTCGATCTAATTAATCACATGACACTAATCACGCGTTTCATTGGACCTTTGCTCTCTGTTCTTGACCACCACCTCCTCCCCATTCCCATTCCCCGCCCCCCTGCTCCTACTCTGTCCTTCTCCCCCGGCGACGACGACGACGGTGGCTCGACGCTACAACTCCTGGCTGTGCTGTACCCCGCTCAGCGACACCGCATTGAGTTGAGCGACTCGCTTGTATAGTATGGTGTCAAGAAGGAGACATCATGGGCGCAGATTCTCTGAGCGAGTGAGTGCTTTTCATCAATTATCTGAGCATATATGCTACGTATCTTACAGATTTGACTTTCCAACGCAGGTATTCAATCGACTACCATTTTTGCCGATGCTTTGCTACGGGTTCTCTTGCCAAGTAAGTGTTTTTCATCGCATACATGCGCATATATGTGATGTATCTTACAATTCTGACAGTAAGTGAATGCTTGGTGTTTTCCCCGATGCCCAGGCCGATGATGGTGCGGATTTTTGGTCAAACCCGTCAAAACATTGTGGTATTTTCTGGGAGACTGTGGGTCTGTACGGCACGTCACGCTTCTGACTCTCTAGGTGCTAGTTTGCTAACAAACACATTGTTAGCAGAGTATTGTCCCATTGGACTCAATTCACGCACACCGGGGATATGCTCTCCCAGTTCTCGCCACCATCCATGCCATCGCAGCCAAAGTCACCTTGGCTACACACAAGCTCCTTGCGGCTGCAGCCATCAGCGCAATTCCTCACACGCCACCACCAATGATGATGAACAAGTTGACTCCCCGCCAACCCATTCAGCAGGGATGTCAGCCGTCATCATCGAGATCCTCTCGCTTCGGCTCCTACAGACACACATCCAGGCGGGTTCCAAGGAAGACGATTACATCGCATGTTGAGTAACGTCCCTCATCAGACATAGGGAGCAAGGGGTCTCAGACGGCGATGACGACCGTTCACTTCTCTATGAGCAGCACAACATCGAAGAGGTCGAGAACTCTCGCCGTCAACTAAATAAAGGTCTTTTCCTTCGTTCTCAAAGAGAACTCTACACTGATCAACTATTTAGCCGCTTTTTTTCTTTCGCGTGTCACTTACTTCCCCCTATCTCCGGTGTTCCCATTCAGGTACACAATTTTCTTGTTCTCCATCATTCCGGTCTCGTCTTGACTGCCCCGTGCTTTTGCTACCATTCTCGTGTTTTTTTAAACTTTGTATTAGATACTACAGGAATTATATGATTCATTTTGCCCATATTTCATATGAAGTGGTCGGAATGTAGGATAAGAATTTGAGATCTAGCATAACATAGTATGGAAAAGGCTGGCTAGGATGTCCTAGTATGGCCTTGCATGGTGTTGGGATCCCGAATAGCCATGCAAGAGACCGATCCCATGCAAGGCCTATCACCTGGGATGTAAGCCGAGGTTCCAACCTTGGCCATGGAAGGGGGGCTAACCTTTCATGGCACCTACGGTTACCACATGATGCCTCTAATTAGGAGGGGTCAGTGATTGCCTGACCCCCTCTAAGGAGAGGGCTTATATCGATATTCCCATCAGTTGAGTTAATTGTTGAATAACTAGTGTGGGACTTCATCGATTTAGCCCTCCCTCGGTAAGTATTATCCGGTGTACCTTCCCGCCGTTCTCAGGCTCCCTAGTGGTCCGCATTGGGAAGGTCGTCCCATCAGCGGCACCACATGCGCCTTCCCATCACGCTCCGTTGCCAAATGCGGACACGGCGTTGGCGCGTGTGACTTTTTCCTTGCTCACTGTCTGTGATGATGAGCAGCTGTATTCCACTGTTCCCAGTCCATTCCCTCCACTTTTTCTTGCCTAAGCCCACACAATAAGCCTGTAGAGTAGTATTATATGGCTACCTGCATGTAAATAGGCTACAGAGTTGTGTAATCACCTACATAAATATGCATGCTCATCCCCAGTGCCCATAGCCAGCTACAGAGAGACTATGAGACCCAATGTGGAGCTTGGATATTCATTATTAGTATGTGTGAGGGAGGGTATATAACTACAGGGCTGTGGGATGGCCAGAAAATATCTATTCTGCAGGTGTAATATACCCCAGCTTCCTACCTCTACTCACCCACTCCCAAGGTACCTATATCTACATTAAACACATAGAGTCACCAGGATAGCTATTTAGAAGAATTATGGGTATCTATATTCGCTATTTTATGGGTGTGAAGGATACCATGGCCTGATATCTCCAAAAATCATCTCAGTTCCTGGGAGGCTATCAGGCCATTGTAAGTATATTTGAATTGGCTAAAGGGTAGTTGTACAAACTATAAAGAGGTTCACTAGGTTTAAAAGCGAGCGCCTCCATGCTATGGTAGTATTTGAAGTGGGGGATGAGGAGGTATACCTGGGATCAGTGATCAAGCCATACCTCCATCAATAAAAATTATCTGAACATTATTGGGACATCTATGGGTGCTTTATGAGTCCCCTATATCGACTTACACAGACCATGTTGCCCACAGAGAAGGTGGTGAAATGTTATTCAGGTAGGGGGAAGGTGTCTACAAAAAACACGAAATCTCTCTCTTCTGAAAGGAATTCTCTACTTAAAATAAATCTGGGTACATAGATGGTGAGCTAATGTAGCTATAGAAGGAATACCAAAAAATTTGGAAGATTGAGGAGATGTATGTCTCCATATGCACGAAATGGATATCAAGGGAGGTACATCAAAAGTGCAGGATTATGATCAAAGTTTGGCTACATATCTCCAAGCAACACATTAGCCTCTTGGATTTGATTGCTCACCCTACAGCCAACCAATCTGTCTGAAAGTTGGATGTGTTTTAATAGCTACACTAAGCTCACCATCTATGTACCCAGATTTATTTTAAGTAGAGAATTCCTTTCAGAAGAGAGAGATTTCGTGTTTTTTGTAGACACCTTCCCCCTACCTGAATAACATTTCACCACCTTCTCTGTGGGCAACATGGTCTGTGTAAGTCGATATAGGGGACTCATAAAGCACCCATAGATGTCCCAATAATGTTCAGATAATTTTTATTGATGGAGGTATGGCTTGATCACTGATCCCAGGTATACCTCCTCATCCCCCACTTCAAATACTACCATAGCATGGAGGCGCTCGCTTTTAAACCTAGTGAACCTCTTTATAGCTTGTACAACTACCCTTTAGCCAATTCAAATATACTTACAATGGCCTGATAGCCTCCCAGGAACTGAGATGATTTTTGGAGATATCAGGCCATGGTATCCTTCACACCCATAAAATAGCGAATATAGATACCCATAATTCTTCTAAATAGCTATCCTGGTGACTCTATGTGTTTAATGTAGATATAGGTACCTTGGGAGTGGGTGAGTAGAGGTAGGAAGCTGGGGTATATTACACCTGCAGAATAGATATTTTCTGGCCATCCCACAGCCCTGTAGTTATATACCCTCCCTCACACATACTAATAATGAATATCCAAGCTCCCCATTGGGTCTCATAGTCTCTCTGTAGCTGGCTATGGGCACTGGGGATGAGCATGCATATTTATGTAGGTGATTACACAACTCTGTAGCCTATTTACATGCAGGTAGCCATATAATACTACTCTACAGGCTTATTGTGTGGGCTTAGGCAAGAAAAAGTGGAGGGAATGGACTGGGAACAGTGGAATACAGCTGCTCATCATCACAGACAGTGAGCAAGGAAAAAGTCACACGCGCCAACGCCGTGTCCGCATTTGGCAACGGAGCGTGATGGGAAGGCGCATGTGGTGCCGCTGATGGGACGACCTTCCCAATGCGGACCACTAGGGAGCCTGAGAACGGCGGGAAGGTACACTGGATAATACTTACCGAGGGAGGGCTAAATCGATGAAGTCCCACACTACACCTTAAACAAGGGACGATCGGGTAGTTAAGCAAAGCCTTTGACAGATTGTTTGACAAATTAATCATTTTTGCACCTCTTATGTAATTAAAACAGACTTATGGGAAATTTTTTATATTGACGGCGTGTTTGCCTATTGTGCAAAGGTGATGTCCAGATGTAAAAAAAATGTTGTTACTATTTTTAAAATGTGTCTTGAGATGCATCCATGGGACGAAAGGCTGGTAAGAATTAAAATTTGTAAATGTAACGAATTTCAGGAACAATTCAGTCTGTCTCTTCGGCAATAAGAATTTTTTTAATTTTTAGCAAAGCTTTGCCTAGGTAACACAGCTGTGGGCAAAATTTAAACAATAAGCACATTAATTGTTTTTTCTCTGTCAGCCCCCTTGAACAATTGGCAGACATACGGTTACAATAAAAATTTTCCCATTGGTTTGTTGTAATTACATAACTGATGCAAAAATGATTACTTTGTCACGGAATCCATCAAGGGCTTCACTCAACTGCCTGATCGTCCCTTGTTTAAGGTGCTAGTTATTCAACAATTAACTCAACTGATGGGAATATTGATATAAGCCCTCTTCTTAGAGGGGGTCAGGCAATCACTGACCCCTCCTAATTAGAGGCGTCATGTGGTAACCATAGGTGTTTCATGGCCTATTGGTGCCTCTCATGGGCATTTATGGCCTAGCATGGAACGTGAACTTTTGCTGATGGTGGCAACGAGTCTAGGGGCATCTGCCAGAGGCCTTACAGCTGATTCCAAAAAGGTTGTCACTACGCAATTTTTTGCAATGCATCAGCAATATAATATATGAGTGATATATTAGCTGAGTAATCAGGTCCATGCCAGGGTTAGCCTGATCTGTAAGTATCCCAGGCGTTTATCTGTATTGATTACTGTCCGTTATCCGTCCCCTTTCCTCGACCGTTTTTATCCTAGATTTCCTTGCATTCCCCAGAGTCCTTATCCTGTGAATAACCATGCTTCACCACCACCACCTTTTTGTTTTTCACCAACTCAGGGACGTCGTGGGGTTTGTCACTTTGTGGAGCCTAAGTGATCTGGAAGTCCAAATTTTTGGTGCGTCGCATTCTTCTCCCCAACCATTATAGCGCTCAAAGATTCCCAAACCACCCAATTGCAGCCCACTACTTTTGGAAAAGACACCGTTCCTTCGACACCATCCCTCCCCAGATGCCCATTATCCGAAGCACCGACTACTTTTGACACACCCATCGTTCGGTCACACGCACACACTTAGATACCCATCGTTCTTTCCTCTCGGAAACGTACACCCATCCAAACAGCACCAATTGGCCTTCCCCCCAACCAACACCTCAACCAAAGCAGGCTCGAACTACAGCAACACGTTGCATTGCGGCGCCAACAACACGTACATCAACTCCTCGCCCTCCTCTCCCTTCTCAACCTCTTGCTCCAGTCGAGGCCAACACCACTGAAACCTCGCCTGCCCAGCACGAGATTATGGGTTTTTTGCCAGTAAATTCAACTCGAAAGCCTGCCGGCACTGGTCGCACTAAGAAGTCTGCGGACAAGGTGGACCCCCATGGTCTCGGTGCTGGGATGACTGATTTTGGGATGGAGTGGGAGGCTTTTCTGGAGGTTATTGCTGACATTCTCGAGAAAGAACCGGCTTTTCTTTTCGTCGACAGCGTGGAGTGGCACTGGGTCAAGCCCGCTAACTCTGTTCTTGTCCTTGTATTCCTGTTTAGCCTACATTACAATGATAAAGAAGTTCAAGGCTCTCCCAAAAAAATGTTTCTGGTAGTTACATAGTCATCCGTATGGATGAGCCAGTCAAGAAGCCAGTTAATCGTGTTTATGTAGTCGTCGATCATGAAATCTTAAATCACCGATTTAGCCCTATCCCTGATTACTCAGCTAATATATCACTCATATATTATATTGCTGATGCATTGCAAAAAATTGCGTAGTGACAACCTTTTCGGAATCAGCTGTAAATTCTTTTGTGACCTTCTCTGATAAAAACATTCAAATGGTCTGCAACACTACCAGAGCACCCTTGAAGCTTGATTTGTAAGTTGCACACATATTCGGTCAGTAATTTTTGATAAAATCTCAAAGTCAGACAGAAAAACATGGATAGAATTAGGAATACTAGCTTCTACAGCGAAACAAAACAAACAGTGTACTTTGCATAAATGTATATCCTGCCCTCAAAGATGAGGAGATGATCAAGCGCTGCTCCTCGTCGGCCAACAGCCTTGAGGCCAGCGTACGAGAGTGTCTTGATGAGCCGCGTATACTGCTGCTCGGCCTTGCGCACATCCTGACGTGTGTGGCGTTTACAGAGGTTTCCTGGGCGCGACACCCTGCAGGCGATGGAATTGATGTCAGGCGCATAGGTGGTTGGCATGGCGCCAGGCCAGTCGACGAGTTCGATGAACGTGGCCCAGAACCACGGAAGGTCGTCACTGTCATTGGTGAAGGACGTTCGGAGGTGACGGCTGCCAATAGCCGATGGTTCCTTCTAAGAAAAACATAGGAGGGTGAGAAGAACATACCAGATTTGGGGGGTAAAGGGAGGGGGGGGGGGGGGGGGGTTGAAGACTTGGGCCTTAATTTCTTTTGCGACTGTATATCCAAATTCCACGTTCCGCCACCCCCTTGATATCTCCACAGCCTTGAAGCTTGACGCATCAAGACTTGTCCGTTTGGAGTTTGGCCCGACATCTAGCCGTGAAGACCTCTCCAGACTTTGGAACCGGCTATTGTCCCCCTCCGATAAGTACATGGTACTTAAGCATGGTGAGCAATATCGAAGAGTTTTTGATCTTCAGGCGATTGTTGATTGGGCAAGTCCTCCTGATCTAATCATGTTTGCACAGCACGGGACATATATAGATGTGCCTAGTAATTAAATGCCCGCTGCCATTGCCAATCAAACTCTTCCGCTCACCACCTAGCACCGTTGAAGATAGCTCTCCAAATGGCCGCAACCGCAGCTGGATCCGACGGAAGATCCGCGTCTTCATCTGGGCAAGGCTCATCAGATGGGCGTGGAGTGGTAAGTACTTGCACAGGCTCGTTCTCGTCAGAGAACTCAGCACTAATGCATTACACAGAATGAAAGTCCTGACACGAGCGGTCCTCGTTACAGTTGTGTCGTCCTCTGTGTAATGTTGTTCTGATTCTCATAGAAATTCTCTGCTCAATCAGTATACTATTGCTTATTCACCAAAGACAGTTCAATTGCAACAAACAACCCAATCTACGCAAACACCCTATTCATCAGTCGCACTCTTTTGAAACTTGTCGCTCCCCCATGTGCCGCTTTGTCCATCAAAAAGCATCTCTGCAAAATCGAGGGATTTTCAGGAGCTACGAATTCCACATTTTTCGAATCGATTTCAAGTCAGACCGCTGTTACGGATTCCTTTCGAATGGTGCTCAAGGAGCCTTTTGGACCGGGGATATCTGAGGATGACCCCATGGTTTTAGTAATTGAAGCGGAAGATGCTGAAAAGCGGTCAGCGAGCACGGCGCAATCAATGGGTCTCCCTGAAGCTGTGACGCCTGAGCCTCGTTATGGTGCGAATGGGAATTTCATATGTATTGTGCGCACCCGCGTTACTCATTATTATCAATCAGTTTACTACCGGCTATATGAGGAAGAAGGAGCAATGACTTCCAAAACATCCTTTGACTCGGACGACTCTTCCTTGGGTCGGGTTGACACGCTCTCTATCGCGCCACCTCAAACGGTGTCCTCCCTGAGGTCGCAGATTGTAAAAGCTGAAGGCATCACTGGTCGCAAGATTCAACTGTTTGGGGATATGGACGGTGAGGTGCCGATGAATGATAATGACCACATATCTTTCCAAGCACAGGTCTTTCCGGGACACATTGAAGATGAGCCTATAACTCTTGTTTGTAGCCAGGAGAAGGCCGAGAGAAAGCAGAAGAACGTTCGGGGTCAGGCAGTGCGTGACCCAACTTTCAACAAACCGCTCAAGGGCCCGGTGGCATGGAGTGAGTAAAGTTATGGTTTATTGAAAACACTGGTGCTCTTATGCTTCTTCCAGATCCAGATCCAAGGGTTCAATCAGACTGGCTCCCCTTCGAGGCAAACGAAATTATGTATACAGACGGGGTCAAGACGACAGGTTACATCGCTGGGTCAAGTAAGTATCTTCTTCACCATCACATAAGCAGTACAAAGATGATTCTCATGCTTTTTTGTAGCTGATCCCTATAGTGGATACATGGCGGTGAATTCCGCTGGTCGAAAGGGCTGTGAGTCTATTCTATTTTCAAATCTTTGCTGACTTAACATTGATTGAATTTGTCTGCTAGTTGTCTATGAATGTAAGTGGCAGGTGCTTATCTGCTGTAATATTTGCTCTTTAATTCTGATTTTCTCCACCACTGCCTACTAGCGCATGCCAGGCTCTGCTAAGAATCATACCGCTCTTATGTCTTTCAGCCACCTCCAATCATCAGGAAAAAAAGTTTTAGCCGGTAGATCGCCAGTTAGATCAGTAGCAGACCGTACCTGGCATAGTCATCAATAGCTGGGCAGATTTCATCATCGTGCTGATTGTTGTCTGTAGACCGTCGGTCCGCCACATTTTGCAATAGGGCTGACAGAGGTGCCATCACATCTATGATCGGCTCTGTAGCTGCTGCCATGCACTACAGTGGTTATCAGTGCTACCAGGCTCTTGTAGACAGTGTACTTATTTATTAGGTTTTCGTAGTCAATCAATCTACTTATGCCTTGAAGCTTCTGAATCAATGTGACAGGACATTTAATGACGGAAAAAGTATCTACGTCTCTGTAAGGATTGAAATAGAACCGGGTCGCAGGGTCTAGGACGTTGTCAGTTGTCCAACTTTGGTCAATCTTCGCACCACACTTGCCCAGTAGGTGACATCCCCGGACCAGTCGATCAACAGGGACAATTGCAGCGTTTCGGCGAGAGTGACAAGTTGACCGCTTGACGATGTGCATGCCAATACGAGGTTCAGGCCCAAAGGTGTGAACCATTTGACATAAGTGAGGGGCTGGGGATAGGAGCCGAATTGTTCAGGAAGGAAGAAGATTGTGTGGACTTGGGCAGCGTGAAGGCCTGAAACAGAACGTAAGTTATTGAAGTACGAACGACGGATTGAGCTGAACATACCTGCGGTACCACCCAGCGCTTGGTACTCCTTGATATCCTCTCCAACAAGGGCCGTGTCAAACACTGCTGGTACCCCTGCTTTCCTTTATGTCGTGTGTGTCATCCTCGATGTCGTCGTCAGTTGAGGGGTCGTACGCATATGCCACAAGGAAGTTCAACGAAGCTAGTGGGTGAGCCTAAGAAAGGTAAGGAGGGAGGTCAGGACGGTACTGGATTCGCACCAGTTGAAACCTGCAAAGTACCTCGTTGCGATGCCGCAGCCTGCAAATTTGCCGCAAGAGGATGTAGGGCTGTGAGACCCGACCCGGCGTTCACTAATGCTACGCTGAGTGCTAGCAGCATCCAACCGACTGCAAGAGGCTAGGGTTAGTTGTGGTGAGAAAGAGGGGAAGGAGGCATTGCGCACTGATATCGTTTCCGACACCTGCGAAGAGAATCACGATCCCCACCATCGTATCCAGCACTTCAACTTTGTTGAAATCTTGCAAAGAACCGGGAACACTGAGAGGTTCCGGTGAGGAAGTAGATGTGCGCAGTGTCAAATGTTTCCTTGAAGTCTGTTGAAACTCCGACACCATGTGACCATGTTGAATTTTTTTTGGCATGACGTTCTTCCTTCCCACCACATCGATCTTCTCCCTCCTCTCTTTCTTTCTTCGAGCCTGCAGCTTCTGTCCCTCTGCGATTCTCTCTCTTCTGGTCTTCTACCCCTCTCTTCAAGGCTCTTCAAACCTTCTTTCTGCCTCTTCTCATTCTTTGTGAATCTTCTCTCTCCCTTAGTACCCTCTATGTTCGAGTTTTTTCCCCCTTCGAGTCTTTTCTCCCCCATCTTTTCCACAGAGGTTCCCCTCTTGCTGCTTCCTCCCACTCACCATACATCACAATAGCCAACAGTAAGGAGGGAAAGGTTCACAGGGGCCCGAGGTAAGCACCCCCCATCCCTTTCCCCACGCTTGCGTTCTTTCGATGTTTGTCGTACTCACACCCCCTTCCCCTCCTTGTTTCTAGAAATTTTGTGCGTTCGTCCAATTTTCGTCATCTTTTTGTCGTCTTCATCTCCTGTCAGTGCGCACTTTCGTCCTTCAGACACATTCTTTCTTCGTACTCACAGCCCCCTTTGTTTGCTCAGCTCTATTCCGTTCGTGCTTTCATCCTCCTCATCCATGTTCACCGTACTCACACCCACCCCCTTTTTCTCTTCGTTTCCAGTTTGTACGTCCTTTCGTCCGTCTTCATCCATGTTCATACTCACACCCCCTTTTTCCTCATCTCCAGGCAGTGCCTACCCTCAAGCATGTGTAGATGCTTTCATCCTCCCTTGTCCGCGTTCGCCGTACTCACACTGCCTTTCTCTCCTCGCGGGTTTTGCGGATTATAGCCGTGACCACAGTATTGTCTCAAGAACATCCCTGCCATCCCTGTCTCTGTGTTGCAGCTGCTGTACAGGTGTATGAGGAGATATCGGAGACAGATGATGCTTGTCGATTAGTATTACCTACTTTTATAGACGGCGTTTGTAAATCAACAGGAGGGGAAATATATATGTATTGGCTTCTACCTGTGCTACGTTGTTCAATACTGTCTATATCTGTCTATGTATAAAAACATGACTTTTGTACTATGAAACTATGGAGGGATATGTCATGAGCAGGTGAGGCTATATATGTAATTGTAGTATTATATAAACGGACAGGGATGCTATGGGGTGCTATATAAAGGGGGGGTTGCAAAAGTGCTACCATAGCTATCAGAACTATGTTGTGCTATGTCGCAACCACTTTTTTTCCTGATGATCTCACCACTTTATCTCAAATTCCGCGATGAGCAAGCACGAGGAATGAGTGCAAGCTCATTATCGGATAAGATAACGGTAACGCGTCAGAACGAAATCTTGCGTTTGTACTCATAAGTACAAACACCTGTGCATGTCTCCGATTCCTAGACAAGGAGACTGCACTCTCCTTGTCCTCAGTTCATCGTTCTGACGTGGCAAAAAGAGCCCTCAATTTCTGTAAAAATTTTCGAATTTTTCAACGCTTGTTTTTCAACCTCACAATGACTGACAGCCCTCAAAACTCTCAAGCTGCCGTTAGTGCTGAAAGCTCCCAGACTGCTGCTACCCCTGTCTCTCAAATGCCTGCTACACCTGTCTCTCAGACGGCTGCCACACCTGTCCCTGATTCCCTCGCCGCTCCCTCTCGAGTTCCTCGTACTCACACCTCCCCAGCTATCATTCAAATGTTAAAAAATCTTCCCTTGGTATCTATCCTCCAAATGAACAAGGAGATCGAGGACAAAAATGCTGCAAGGTCTCGGAAGACCTTCGACCACATTTCTGATCCCGCTGTCCATACCGAGCCTGGCTCTGATGAAGCTTCTTTGGTTTCTTTGGATGACGCCGACTTGCATCACTTCCGCATTCCTTCCTTTGCTGCTTCCTTTCCGAACTTAATCTATGCTAAACTTGCAAAATGGATCGCCGATGAAGAAATTAAAGACAAACAAAAATCAAAAAGGAAAACTGCTGACGACGGGAAACTTTCTGCTGAGGAGGCTAGAATTGCAAAGCGTCGTTGCATGAATGGAAAAAAGATGGTACCTTGGGTTGTGGGAGTTCCCTGGCAGGCCACCTTTCCACAGAGCCTCTTTGACACTGAGCTTTGCATTGCTGTTCCACTGCCTTTTTTCCTTAATAAGAATTTGAATATCTTGAATGTTGAAGCGTCTACTTTGCCGACGACAAAGACCAATCCAAACCCTGGTGAGACAAGGGGCACCGTTATTCTTGATGTCGAGAAGCTTTCTACGCATTTTGGCAAGGAGCTCTCCTTGTCTTGTAGCCAATGGACGGAGGCTGCTGGCAACATGTATCTCTTCCAAAAGGAACGCGATGAGGAAGGCACAGCCGATGCTCACAGTAACTGGTATAACGATCATTTTTGCTTTTACACATCTCAGGACACTAAAGATGACCTTTATGATGCCTGGAAACCTGATGAGCTGAAGTTCCGACAGGAACATTGGGCTAAATACGGAGAATATGACGCTGCACGTTACTACCAGGCCTACAAGCTTTCCGAGAAGCAGCGCGAGATGATGGTTGACATTTGTGGGATGATGGGTCCTGAACCCACAAAAGCTCCTTTCACTGGGAAGCTCACACCACGACTCGCCTTTCGCCCCTCTCAGTCACGTCCCTCCCAGCCCTTTTCAACAGGCAGCGGCAGGTCTTCCTCCTCGACGCCCGACTGCCTTATCTGTGCTGAGCAAGGCCACGACGCGACCCATCACGCGGACACCACCATCGTCGTCAAGTTTAAAAGTGACGGGAAAGCCATATGGTCCAAATACAGTGACCACAACCTCCTCAGCCCTGACAACAAGGTTATCTGCATCAGTTGGAATCTCAGAGGCAAGTGCGGACACCCATGCTCTCACAAGGACGAACGCGCCCACCTCTGCTCCTTCTGTGGGAGCAAGCGCCACCACACCTTCTCATGGATCTGCCGTCCCCGACCCTCAAACTGATGCATTCCTTCAGGCTTCCCTTTCCCTTCATCTTTCCTACTCCGATTTCTCTCCTTCGATTATTTCTCGCCCCCCTCTGTCCTCTACCTCTGCGGAGGACTCTGCTCTATTTGACAAGATCTTGCATTCATACAACCCAGGCGCTTTCGACTTCTTATTGTGCAAACACAGCCTTTTCGAAAGCTATCCCCTCCTTCCCTTCAATTTGCACTTCGGCTTCCCTATTGGCCATATGCCTTCCCTTTCCCAGACCGTTGTTATGCCCAACAATCCTTCCATCATCGCCTATCCCGACACCATTTCTGATTATCTCACCAAAGAAGTCAAGTCGGGCAGGCTCTCAGGCCCTTTTTCTCAGGAAGTCACTGAGAGGATTCTGCGCGGCCCCTTTCAATCCTCCTCTCTCCTCGTCTCTGTTCAGCCACAAGAACCAGGTGTACCCGATAAGCTGAGGGTGTGCCAACACCTGTCCAAGGCCTCAAAGCTTCATGCATCCGTCAACTCCTATATTCACAAGGACGACTTCCCTATGTGTTTCGACACCGCATTGAAAGTGGCTGAGATTGTGAGTAACTCTTTCTTCTGTTCCTTTTCCCCTCTTTCCGTCCTTTCCTTTTCGCGTCTCCTTTGCATTTTGTGCGTGGAGATGCCTTCTTTATTAGTGCTGGCTTGCATCCAGTCGCTCTTTGGGTATTCTTACCTACATCCCTTGATCATCCTCCTGTTCCGTGCCATTGGCATGATGATATTATCTTCCGTGCCGCTGGCACAATGATTATCTTCCGTGTGTCAAGCACGATGATTATCTTCCGTGCATCGAGCACGATGACTTCTCTTCCACGCATTGAGCGTGATGACTTCTCTTCCACACGTCGAGTGTGATGACCCTTCTGACGTGTAAAAATGATGCTTCCCTTTCTACATGTTGAGTGTATTATGCCCTCACACATATTATGGGCATCCACTGCACCTCTCTCCCACATCTCATGTCTATGTTCTTGTCCAATCTATTATCTTCCTGCGCATTTTACTTATATCCCTTACTCTTATACAGATTTCTCATGCGCCTCCTGGAACGCAGGCATGCACTCTCGACATCAAGAAATTCCATCACACATGCCCTGTTCTCCCACCTCATAAACCTTGGCTTGTCGTTCAAGGCATGTCTGATGATTTTTTCATCAACCATGCTCACCCTTTCGGAGCCGCATGTGCCAGCAGTAATGCTGGGATGATCGCAAATGCCGTCATCGATATCTGGAGGGCTGAAGGAGTCTTTCCAGTGCCGAAGTATGAAGATGATTTGAAAGCCTTCCGGTTTCCTTCACCTTCGGGCCCTTTCCTTGACGGCGAATTTCGTTATGACTACGATCGCGATGAGATGCTTCGCCGCATTTCTTCATTGGGAGTGCCTTGGCATGACGAGAAGGGTGATGAACGTTTTTCCTTCGTCACCACCTTTATCGGTTTCCTCTGGGACATCCCTTGGAAGCGCGTCAGCTTGCCGGAGGGAAAAAGGAATAAATTTCATCAACGTGTTCTCCAGTTCCTTGTCGACTTTGATGGCCGACCTTGCCATCTGCGTGATGTTGAAAAGATCCATGGGTCTCTTTGTCACATTGCTTTTGTCTACCTCGATGGTCGCTCCCATCTGCCTTCTCTCTCTAACTTTGCCTCCACCTTCCATGGTGACGAATTCCTGACGAAATATCCTCCACATTCCCTGATCACTGACCTGAACTGGTGGCTGGTCAAGCTCACTTTGCCAGGGGTACACCGATCTCTTCACCCTCTTGGTCCTTTATCAGACCTTGGCTTGTATGTTGATGCTTCGACGTCATGGGGTATTGGTATCATCATCAGTGGTGAATGGGCTGCCTTCCAGCTATCGCCTTCTTGGAAGATTGTCGGTCGTGACATCTGCTGGCTTGAGACTGTCGCCATTGAGCTTCTAGCTCTTTTCCTTGAATCAAAGGGCCTTCATGACACTCATCTTCTTGTCCATTCCAATAATCAGGGCACTATTGGTGCTCTTGACAAGGGCCGTAGTGGCAACATCTACCTTAACCTTGCAGTTTGCCACACCCACCTTATCCTCATGGCAACGTTGCTTGCCTTCAAAACTGTTTATATTGAATCTCAAGCTAATCCAGCTGATCCTATCTCGCGCGGGGAACCAGGACCAGCTGGGAAGCAAATTTTCCCATCGTTTCAGCTCCCTGATGAGCTATCTTCCTGTTTTGTTCATGCCTAGCTTAGATTATCCTTTTAAGCCGGCGACACATGTCGTCGAGACGACTGTGGGTGGTTCAGTCTCTGTTCCTCTGTGCCCCACACATCGTCACACTCTCTTCCCTTTCAAGTCTCGTTCTACTGCACTCCCACCCACAGTCTCATCCACGCCTGTTCCTTCCACATCGTATACTGCTCCGCCCTTGCTAACTGCTCCTCCTCCCCTCCCAACTACTCTTCCTACTCAATCTACTTCGCTTACTCCTCTTGACCACCTCTCACCTCTATCATCTCGGTCTATCACACCCCGGAAACCTCATGCTGGGCGGCAGATCTCTCAGAGTGTTCTACGCCCCCATGTTGCTGCTGCTGATCGCCTATTTACCTGGGACACGCCTCACGCTGCTCATCACCGACATCACCTGGCTACCTCCCTTCCAAGTTCCCATCTCGTTAATAGTGCTCTAATGTCAATCCGTGGTGCTTATGCACCTAACACAAAAACCACATATGCTGCTGGCACCCTCCGCTTCACCCAATTTTGTGACAGATGGAACATAGACGAAGAAGAGCGGATGCCTGCCTCTTACCCTCTCCTTTGTGCCTTTATTGGTGAGCATAAGGGTAGGCAGGCTGGGAACACCATACGTTCTTGGCTCTCTGGCATTCGTGCATGGCATGTCATCAACCATGCCCCTTGGTTTGGTGACGATGAATGGGTTCAGCTGGCCCGGGTGTCTGCGAACAAAGAGGGTTCAATGCACAAACGCCCTCTCCATGCACCTGTGTCCATTGAACACCTGCTGGCGCTCCACCATGTTCTCAATCTCTCCACTCCCTTTCATGCTGCAGTTTGGGCCCTTGCTCTCTGTACATTTTTTGGCTGTCGACGACTGGGCGAGCTATCTGTTACTACCGCTGCTGCCTTTGATGGAAAATATCATGTTCTTCGCTCTGTCATGTGCGCTACCTTCCTTCTCTCCTTTCTACTCTTCTTATATTCTGCAGGATCACCTTTCGTACATTGCGGGACGGTTCATCCTCTGCAAACTTCCACATTCCTTGGACCAAGACAACCAAAGAACTTGGTGCCTCAGTGATCCTTACTGCACGGAATGATATCCTTTGCCCAGTCACTGCTCTGAAAAACCATCTCTCTGTTAATTCATCCACAGATGAGTCAGCCCCCCTCTTCGCATATACAACTGCTTCCTCTCAATCAAAAATGCTTCTCAAACACGAATTTCTCAATTTCTGCATGGGTATCTGGTCATCTGCCATGCTTGCGCATGTTCTCGGGCATAGCTTTCGCATCGGGGGTGCTGTTGAACTTCTCCTTGCTGGCGTACCACCCGAAATTGTCGCTGCAACAGGTGGCTGGACCTCTCTCACCTTTTTGCTCTATTGGCGTTGCATGGAAGAAATTCTTCCAATGAGCACATCAAAAGCATACAACAAGTCCCACATTGACTTGTTGGCTGCAATCTTCGAACAATTTCGTATTCATAACAAAATCCCTTCTGCGCTTATTGTCGCCTCTGATGGGAACCTCACCTTGTGATTCTCTTTCATCTTCACCATCTACCTTGTACTTATACTTCATCCGTCCTTCTACCTTGCCATATTCATCTTTACAATCTACCTTGTACTTATATTTTGATCCACACATCCCTCCTACATCGCTACTGCTGTACTCATCGAAACTTGAAATGTATTTGTATTTTGAACAAGAAATTCTCCCAGAGTGCCGCTTGACTGGGTAGTTCCTCTGTGCTGAACCAACCTGCTCGTTGTGAGCTTACACTCTGGTTGGTATAGCTGGTTGCCTTGCACATCGAGCTTCCAAGACGCTCAGGTCTTGCTCGTCTTTCAGATTTCATTATTATCATTACTATTTAAGATCTGATTTGAATGAGCCGGGCAAGCCCTAGGCACAGACAAGTTATCCGCACTCGCGGATTTCTTGTATTTAAATGTATCCTATATTTAAATACTCCTTCTTTCCCTGTATTTCATAAGACGCTACAGTTATCTCATTCCGCGATGAGCAAGCACGAGGAACGAGTGCAAGCTCATTATCGGATAAGATAACGGTAACGCGTCAGAACGAAATCTTGCGTTTGTACTCATAAGTACAAACACCTGTGCATGTCTCCGATTCCTAGACAAGGAGACTGCACTCTCCTTGTCCTCAGTTCATCGTTCTGACGTGGCAAAAAGAGCCCTCAATTTCTGTAAAAATTTTCGAACCCACCCACCATCCCTCTCAGCGTCTGGTATAGCTGGTTGCCTTGCACATCGAGCTTCCCAGACGCTCAGGTCTTGCTCGTCTTTCAGATTTCATTATTATCATTACTATTTAAGATCTGATTTGAATGAGCCGGGCAAGCCCTAGGCACAGACAAGTTATCCGCACTTGCGGATTTCTTGTATTTAAATGTATCCTATATTTAAATACTCCTTCTTTCCCTGTATTTCATAAGACGCTACAGTTATCTCATCCCACTGCTTCACTTGTGTTTACCAGACACATACTATATTTCCACATTTTAGTTTTGTTGGTTTTCAGGTCAATTTACCCAAAAGCATTTCCGGGGTCTGCGCCTGTCCAAGCACTTCAAATCCTCAGACATAGACGTCCCACGTTGCTTTGTCGTTGCATTGTTGTCACTGCTCATTCTATTGCCCGATTTTGAAAATTCTTCACTGGTCAAATAGGAGAACATCTTCATAAAATTAAGCCAACAATTTCGATAAGAAGTGAACTCTGAAGTACACTGAGATGAATACATTAAAATATCCACAACGCGTGTTTTGGTCTATTTTTATCTGTCTTGAGCACGTGCCATGGTGCTCTCTGTTTTTCTTGTTCCTCGGTCACCCTTTTCTGAGGGTGGGCTCGACTTTTCTGTGTGCATACTTGGCTCTGTCACATAGAACCTACAGAGCTCGTGACAAGCGGATGGCGCCGAAGGCGCCATCGTGTGATGGGCGGTGCTTTACAGCTGGACTCTGCATTATCTCGTACGGACGCGACCAATCCCTTGGAAATGAAGGTATGATGTGTATTTGACGATTGCAGGAGTCTCGACTGACCGTCTCTCTGGTAATAGTCATGGCAGGTTTGATTGCGCAGTGTCACCTCCAATGTCACCATCGCTTGAAGAACATCTTGAACCGCATCTGATCGAGTTCGCCTTCGTTTGAACCTCCGTTTCCATACCTGCAAACCGTTTTCCAGCCATGGAGATGCTTTGCGATGGCTCAGCACGTCGTGTTCGAGTGCCGATATATTCGGTTCGTCGAGTCCTCACATTGGCCATGAAGCTGGTCACAAGAACGTCAAGTGAGTTTATATTCCTTCCTTTCCTAGACGGGCGATAGCTAACAACTATCTACGCAGCTGGTTTTATTCAAATTCCAATGTACTCTCCCGCACACACCCCTCTCTACATAGGCCGTCAATGAAAACTATCCCTCCTCCGCAATACCTGTGTGCACCGACGTCTGGAAAAGAAGGGGTCGAAGTAACCAGGACCATGTTACATCCATTGCCGTTGCTCTCATCTCAACGACGACGACCAACTTCCTCGACACATACCTTTGGTATTGCCCATGCTCTCATTTTCCTCCGCTCTGGTGATGCCTCGGAGCTCAAGAAGGGCTCTTTCTGGATTGAGGGTACATCCGGCTGTGATTTTCGTATCTACCATTCACTTAACTGACTCAACAATCGTTAGGTACTCGAGTACTTGTCATGCACACCCAACGGCGCTCTTTACTCCGCGTTCCCACAACGATTCCACCCCTTACAAGCTCAGTGGACTCACCCTACCGATGCACTATCGTAGAATTCCGTCGTCTGACTCAAGTATGGCACGAACCACACACCAGGTCCGACCACTTAGTACATTGACAAACACGATACACCCCAACAAAGCCAAGCCAGGGATTCATGTTTCGTTCGGTTATGCTGCCATCCCACCGTATCCAGCCCATTGCCTCCTCTCCAACCAACCCAACGACATGCGGAAACCCTTCCGCAACGCTCTCGCACACGCCATTCTCTTCGCAGTGGCACCGCTCTTTTCACCCTCCCTCGAATTTCGATACCTTTTCTACTAGTATTCCGACTCGTCCCCTGGGTAGAAAAGCCAGGTACGATTTTCAACTTTGTTTGATGTCCGCCATAGCTGATTTCGATGGTTAATCAGACTTCATGACACCGTGGTGCCGTAGCCTGGGTAGCTTCGGAGCAGTGATGAACGAGGAGGGTGGACATTAGAGAGGACGGACCAGCCTGACGTCGATTTCGCCACCATGGTCATCACCAGCACAACGCGCAGCTCAACATCGTCGTCGTCATCTTGCCCCTTCACCAAGCATCAAGGGGCAATGAACGTGACGACTCGGAGTCAAAGTCTTTACAAGTTCCCCTCAATATGCTTGTGATGCACTCCAAAGAACGAAAGACGAATGGAGATGATTGTGTGGGATCTGTGCTCGCTAAACTGGAGGCGGGTTGTATGGAGAACGAGATCGTCTCCTCGCCTGCTTTCGAGCACTTTCTTGTCAGATGCTCAACTTTGTTCCCTCGACCCTTCCATCTCAATTTCACTTTCAAGAATCTCCACTACGCCGCTCTGGCATATCGCGTCAATATCGAAGCTTGGGCTTAAGCCCACCAAAGGCTCCTCTTATTTCAATCAGAGGCATCCCTCGTCGGCCCAAGGTCCGACCCTCCAAGACACCAAGTGGTCCATCCTGCCACATGTCTGGGCGGCGAGAATATGTCACTTAACATTCTTCCATGCCGCTCCTCCTCGGTTGGTCTTATGAAAACCAGGGGTCTAAGAATTCAGGCTCGCTGCTATACTCCCAGACGGCCATTCGTTGATATCTGTGAGGAAACAAGTTCTACGGCTCGCCCGTAAAGGTTCTTCTAGACTGTTGCTGCTCAGCGAGTGGGATGTAGATGATGGAAGTTAGGAAGCGGAGCTTTCTTATCACGGAGACTGGGATGTCTGGATTTCCAAAAGGCGACGGTTTTGTGGTCCCTTCGACGTTCCTGACCGCCACTTGTTGATTAGTCAAGAGAAATCAGGACGTCCAAGCAACGTCTAAGAGTGGGACAGCGGTTGACGACAGTGGATGGTAACAACATCAAGGTTACCACTCTTCAACGGTGTTCGTTGCCCAGTTGAATGTGGCGAAGAGTACCTGAATGGCTCCCGCGTCACATAGAACTCGCCCCCCCCACATTCCCTGCGACTACGAGAGTTGGAGATTGAGAGGCTAAAATGGCGGAGGGCCAGTAAATCAAAGATACCCCATTGAGAGTTGATGTGCAAAACGTGTTAGCTTCAAACAGAGAATTGCGAAGTATCCCCATTGAAGCAACTTTACAGACTCTCGGTGACATTTGCGCCTCGAATCAAGAATGCAGTGATCACAGCATCGACATTACGACACCCACCTCCTTGAATTCTTCGACTCCAACCAGTGTCTTTAACACTGAGCCTCAAATGGCCTCAATTCCAGCTGGATCTGGTGGACAACACGGACTCTGTTCTCCATCTCCCGAAGGCCCATCAGATGGTCTCGGAGCAGAGGCGGTAAGTACAATTCGGGCTCTCCCCAAATCATTTTGCCTCACCAATGACCTGGATATTGTGCAGATTGTGGTTGTCAAACCAAGCGGGCCTCGCTACAGTTGCGTCCTCCCTCATAGAATTACTGCCTTTGCTCTTACACGTTGAGTTATCCAGTGTACTACCGTCTGTATACCAAGGACACGGCCAATCAAGTCAAACAACCCAATCTATGCGAACAACCCGTTCATCAGCCGCACTCTCCAAAGTTCGTCATGCCTCCTCGTATGGCCCAATCCGTAAAGAACCATCTCCGCAAGATTGAGGGCTTATCAGCTCCGCATCGACACGCACTCCAGGGCCATCGCACCACCATGGCACAAACAGTCTTCTCGATGAGGTCTCAAATCATGAAACTCGAGGGCTTTGTTCATCGGAATGTTCAACTGTTCCAAGACATCGACGGAGAGGTGCTGATGGACGACAATCTTCACATGCCCCTCCAAGCGCAGGTTTACCCAGGGCATGATGAAGATGAGCGCATAACGATTGTCTGTAGTCAAGAGCATCAAGGAAAGGCTGGGACACCTCAGCCTGAAAACGAAGCCTTACTAAGCCCAGTGGGCTCAAGTCTCTTGATGCGGATCAGAGGGGGGACGACATGGAGTAAGTAAAAATGAGCAGATATCCGTTGGATTGGTATTCATGTTTCTGATCCACTTTCGTATATCATTAGAATACTACTCCTACGGTATGTCATCTCCTTGTATCTACGCACGCCTACTGATTAGACTGGCTAGGACCATGTTGAGCCGACTATTTCTGAATTTCAGGGTGGGTTTGTGTGGCCCCATTTCATCATCACCGCCGATGTTCTTTCTGATTTGGACATTCCCCTCGACATGGACCCACCTTCGACGCTCATCAAGCTTTACAAGGAAGGTGATAGAATCTTTCTGAAGGCTCTCAGTGTCTCCCACTGTCTTGACTTTGATGACTTGTTGACGAAGTCCCTTCGAAGTCAGGGGGCAGTATCCATATCAGAAACAATTTAGCCACTGAACGCGCATTTGTTCGCCAACAGCTGAAGTCCGGCTCGTTCAGGCTCATTCCCATCGCCAGCACTTTAAATCCGCTTGTATCCACATGCGATACGGTAACAGCCCGATTTGCTCACCCCTAATCTGCTGCTGACTGAACCCTGGTTTATGTTGGTCAGGCGATACTCAAGAAGTACCATTCGGCCATGCTGCAGGGCCTTCCTCCTGAAATAATAACTTGAACCGGATAGACACGAGGCTAACAAACGTGGAAGTTGGAGAAACGCCTGGTATGAGTGGACGCAGTGTGAGCTGTCCACAGGTCACAAGGTAATATCTAGTATCGGGATGCCGGTCCACCGAGATGAACATGAAAGATAGTTGTTGATCTTTTTCGGACTCTGAGTCGTACCGGGGAGCAGAACACACGCTGAGTAAGACTTGTGGGAACACTACTGAACTGACAGAAGTGCACTGCTAGATTGACAGGGCCTCACTCGACCGATCATGTGATAAGTGCCCGAACCAGGGACCCATGCAATGCTCGCCAGGAATAGCAATTGCCTAACACAAGCTGCTCGACGCTGAACCAACCTAGAACTTGTTACTTGAACTCTACCCATGCACCGTAGACGTAAGGTGTCGCAATGTTTTGGGGTGGCTTCTCCGAATTCGCCAATGGATGCTATTAATCAACTATTAATAGTAGGTGGAGTCCCTGATCTAACCCTGATCTTGACGTACAATCTTGTCACCCAAACTTTGTCAATCGCCCAATCTGAAAATTGCTGACCACTACTCAATCATCTTGATGAGGTAAAATCTGGGGTGAAGCGCGGTGTATATATAAAAAAAGCCAGTAGGAAGAGGTCGGACCGGCCGCCCAGACCGTACAGTCGTGGACAAGCAAAGCCCACTAATAAAAATGGAAATGTATTGATGGCTACCAAAGTGCCCGGAAAACGTGCAGATACGTTGAGGGAAGCTTCTGGCCAAATTTCAGCCAAGTCTCACGAGCCGTTTTGGAGAAAATGGCCATATACAGAAATAGACCCTAAAATTTTGGCCGGACACCAAAAAGTGCCAAGAAAAATATGGAAAATAGCGGAATCGCTTCCTTTCACGGAGAACAATCTGCCCATCAAGTTTCGAAACAATTTATCGAGTGGTTCTTCTGGAAAAATTTGCCAAACATTGACCCAAATTGGGCACTTAGTCACTTTTGATGTGACTTCTATCACGGGACTAAGAAATTCCATCTGATAGATTCCTCGCCCTTTCTGAGTAGGAAGCCCAGCACAAGTACCAACTTTCGATAATTTCTGGCCGGTTTTGACCGGTTTTTCCCCTTAAATGTTGCAGTTTTTTGGTCCAAAATTTTGGCCGCGCCAATTCCTCGTGGGAAAAACCTCGGAGGTGCGTTTTTCGACGCATTTCGCAAATCTGAGCCAGAATCTGGAAAAATCTCGGCTCTAGATACATTATTTACCGAGATACCAAATTAGTGGGCTTTGCTTGTCCACAACTGTATAAAACCAATATAAAACTTCAACTCGCTTTGGAACACGATTCTTCAATCCTTTATACCAATACCCTACGAGATGAGTACCCGCCCCCCTTGCTGCACCGATCATGGGTAGGTCTTATTCACGTACATTCTATTGCTCTTGCATGCTGATTTTCTTGCTTGCCACTGCAGTTCCATTGCCCCACCCTTGGTTATACCGCCTCACAGGCCGGTTACTCAGTCAGGTGTAATCCGTACAATGTTGATAATCACTCGACCACTTGCCTCTAGTCGCACCCCCCCTCTAATTGCCCATTGGGCGCTCTTGGTTGGAGATTTTTACCACGAGTTAGTTAGAGTTTCTGTGCGGCCGCCGGGTCGTAATTCTGGCAATGCCCGGTACATTGCATATCGGAATGGGCCGCGGTCGGAGCTCACAAATATATGGACCTACCATCCTACTGGTCGGCCGACAGGTTGGAATGATGCAGCTATTGCTGATGGAGGTGAGTTTGAGCGGTCTCATTTTGTAATAAGCTTATGTTTGATGCTTTTGTTCCAGCTCGAAGTGTGATAAGAGGCATGCGTGCTGAGTACCATGTTCTTGATAATAACTGCCAGCATTTCGTTCGCAACCTCAGTAGCCTCATCCTTGGTCCTCAACCACCAAGGCGCTTCTATGGGGCAGCTGGCCTATTTTCGATGCCGTTGCCAGCATTATCACAGGATGAGTGGATTGAGGATGCTGCCAGGGCTGAAGAGGAGCCGTCTCTATGTACTGTTCAAGATGAGGATTCAGATGCCGTCAAAGAAATCAAAACATTCATGGATGATGTGATGGCCAAACTTGAGGTTTCCGAGGTCAGTCATACGATATGTTACCATCTCTCATACAATCTGATTTCTTGTATTCAAAGGTAGCCACTGGAAATTGAATGATCTGTGCCAAAGCAGATTCAGCTTTCCTGACTCATTGAACACATTCCGGCCTCTTTGCTTGTTTCTATTTTCTTACTTAGCCATCTGTACATTTTATGCACCCAGTTCTAGTTGAGCTTGTCCGGCGTGTTGTATTCGTCGTGCCCGGAAATCAGATAGCGGTTTCATATCCCTGTCCTCCCCTAGCTGCAATCTCTTCTTCATATCAAGAAGCCCATCTTCTTTTGGTCATCATCAGCCATAGTAGAGCTCATCGCTGGGTTGAGGAGGGGAAGCTGCTTTCAAACAAGTGGCATGAGCGACTCGGAACCTTGAGGGGTTCAAGCAACTATAGCTTATCAACCGTTCAGGACAACGGCTCACTCCTCAAGGCTAGGAAGTGAAGTTTTTACGAAACTACTGGGAAACTATAAGCCAGAAATATTACCTGGAGCCATGAGGTGTCGTTTCTGGCTCCAGGTCAAATACAGACTTGCCAGTCACCTTTCCAGGTGAACCCAGGTAGGTTTTAGTGGGGCGCGTACACTTCCAGATTGCTTTCCAGTCATTGTAGTACATGTATAATCACGTTAGAAATTCATATATTGCTGTCCCAAATGCTACAATCCGATAATGAATACCAACTAAATCCCTATGGTATCATAATCTTCCCAGTCCTGCTATCCCGCTTCAGCAACGAACACTCTCCTCCATTTGCAAGATCGGCGCCCTCCAAGACGGTGACCATGACGTGGGGCAGTGTTCTACACAAAAGCATTGAGGTCAATGATACCGAAAAGTGAGTAAGTGAGGACTTGCCGCAATGCAACAATGCTTGGTGCCCCACTGGTTGGCAGGCGGAGGAAGGCGAAGTCTCGAGACAGCTCTCATATCTCGGTGAGCTTGTTGAGGTATCCCCCCAAGGAGTACGTAAGGCTCTTTGTCAGATGCATTGACCGTTTCCGCAGACTAGAGCTATCGGTGAGGTCAACACAAAACCTAATCAAAAGAAGGACTCACAGAACGCTGCTGCTTTTCCACTTCTTAATGAACACCTCTTACCCACTACCCAAAACTTGCGCCCCCTCACTATCGATCGGCGCCAGCAGGCTAGTCGGCTGGTTGCCCCCCATGGAAAACAAGCTGCTGTCGACAATCCCTGCGATCCAAAGGAGACATTAATATGGACGCGGGAGAGGCGAAGACGGTCACATGAACCAGACGTTGTACAGAAGTGCGGCGGCTGCTTCAGGAGTCAGTGCTCCAACACTCTCATTTACAGACCAGGCCACCGAAAGACCCCCATGTGACAGCGGCGGCGTGACTAGAAGATTTGGGGAGCCTTCAGGGTATGTGTCGGGATAAGGCAGAGGACAGTGAAGAACAAATAAAAAGTTAGCCTGGAACGCGCATGAAGATGTCACAGTCAGACCACTCCCTGGGGCGAAGAGAAGGTGCAGCCGAGTTGTCAAGCAAGGCACCGGGGCAACTAGAGAAGAGGAATATAGTTGAGAAAGTAGCGCTTCGGGGAAGAATAAGGGAGATCAGCAAACAGTCCAAAGGTTTGGGATTTGGAAGGGTTCGGTAATTGAGTGTATCGAGGCCCCAAGCGTCGAAGTATTGAATGTTGAAATGTTGAACGTTGAAGCTTTGAAGTCCTATGGTTTCGAGCATCCTGATGTGACGTCGAAATTTATTGACGCACCCCCCTTGTTCTGCACCAAAAATGACATAGCTTCAAGTTCTTCGCGCTCGTTATGCTCTATACACGAATGACGGCGCTCAGCGCTAAGCAATGGGGCTGAGAGGGTGTTGGTCAAGTGTTGGTTGGGAAGGAAGGGTTGTTGAGAGATGTTGGGCGGATGTTGAGATTGATCACGCTGTTGCCTCTTCTGGAAGCGGGGTTTGAATTGACTTGTCGAAATTTCACGAACCACGGTTGCCAAGTCGTTGATGATCGAGGTTGCATGGAAAACGTCTGGGAATCAAAAGCTGCCAGGCGATCAGGCACATTCAGGTAATCCAGCTCGCCCAGGAGCTTTTAGGTTTCCTGATGCACGTTCTGAACTCCAATCTCTCGCAAGAGCCAGAGAAGGACTCGCATAAACGAACTTGAGATACGTAGTCGGGGTAAGTTATCAATTGAGTCAAGAAGGAACACGAGTTTTGACGGGTACGGGAACCAGGGGTCTGAACGCTTTGGATTGTCACAGCTGGTATGCTCGTCATTGCTTGAAATTAGCCTCAGCCGTTGTTGATCAACGTAGGAAATTCGAAAAGACGGACCTGTACGCTCAAGCAATTCTGATATCATCTCTTCATGTTCATCGTCATCCCAGATCTCCGCAACATCGGCCATGCTATCATCTGGCAGCCCATCCAGTCCACCTCAAAGGTCATATTCATCTAAGCGATGATCAAACTCTTTGCGTCTCTGCTCATTAAGTTCCGCTTCGGATAGATCGAGCTCATAGTGTCCATCGAAGGCCGTGAACATCTCCTTTTCAGCATCCACCACCCGGGATTGGTCATTAAGAAAGGATTGCGGACTGGGAGGGCCATCCATGATAATGTCCTGCGCAGTGGCATATTCTCCAGGCATGTTCTCATTTCTTTCCAGCTCAGACTGAAACTGCTCCTGATTCTGAACTGCTTTGATATGTGTTGGATGTTTAGAATGACTAGCAAATGTAGATTTCAGGACCCAATTTGCCCAATACTCTCGTTTGTTGAATTCAAGGCAGATCCGGCAGCGAACCTTGTCATCTTCGCTGCGTGTTTCCATAACTGGAACGGTATGGTTCTCTTCTGAGCTTCCATGTCTAACGATGTTGCAGACTTCACTCACACTCTGGAGCCTTGCGGCCTCGTTTTCCGTTCATGTTTTTGAGATAGCTGGAGTTTTGTGGTCTGATCCGGCAACGGTGTTGGTTTGACTGGGGCAGGTCCCGTGACGTTGGTGTTTGGGTTAAAAGTTGTGCGCTGGACTCTCTCTGTCGTTATTCTCTTTCTGAAATCGTGCACGGTTAGGCACGGTAGTCGCATGGCAGTGCACGGTCATGCACGGTAATTTTCCTGTGCCCCTACAGTGGACTTAGACCGACTACAATGAACTTGAACCATCCGCGTAGCGACTGCAACTGCCACAGAGCCAGTGCAGGAGAGTGAAAGTCATTGACGGTGGCTGATCTGCTGAGGTCCCGAATCCCGATCGATTGTGATCAATTGCAAAAAGGAAAGTTCAAACGTTCAAGTTCCACTGGAACGTCAAAATTCGGTGCCTATGGTGTGTTCCTCTGACTCGTTAACTCCCAATAGTATCACACTGGCAGATCTATCATCGCACTTCACATGCTTCACATGTCAACATGTCACCAGTGAACCAGCGTGTGACGTGTCCTATGCTGTACCATGCTACGGAGTTATTCTGTGGTTCACTCATATCAAGGTGCATATAAAGAGAGTGGTTGTTTTAGTGTCCCACATCGGTTTGCTTCACGTCATATCGTGTACGCTTATCCCTTCTGCTCGTAAGTTTCTGAGCTGATCCCTGCTTCCACAGACGCGACGGTCTTCTTCTATACATGTCCAGTGGTGAGGCATTGCAAATAGGATACCCATCCTTCACAGATTATAACTGATACCCTTGCCAGTAACACCCCTCTCTGCTCCCAATGGCTTCCTGATCAAGAACGATAACGATTTCCTTATCGAAGTCACGCATCCTGATGGTTCGACGCCGACAGAGATCCCGCCTGGCGAAACACATGAATTCTCAAAACAAGGAAAATATGTGATTCAACACTCAGGCACTCCGCCGACGGTGGTGATAACAGTGGACTATACTAATGCCGGAATCGATTGCCAACAAGTTACTAATCAAGCCAGTAAAATTAACATAACTAACAAATTCACTTAAGAGGTGACCGCGCCGTACTCTTGTCTCGGGAATGCGACCATCTCATCCGCCGTTGTTAGGAACGTTATAGGGAAAGCTTACTAGTAACCGCCTGGACTCACCCTCGTCTTTACATAATTTGTCATTACATACTTATTGTGCTTGTATTGAGATAGGATGACAACTTGAATTCCGAGTCCGGCCATATACTATGTATCTCCGCGAAAACGAATCTAGCTAGGGTGCGTGTAAAAAAAAACTGCTAGAGATGCTAGATTAGTTTAGGATTGGTTAGAATGCGGTTGCGATCTGCCGAGAGTCAGCGACACAATGCTAATCAACTGTGCGTCACTCGATTGATGGCTTTCTCGTTTTTTTTTGGGGGGGGGGGTCTACCCCCTCCGTGGGAACTATGTCCGCAATCGGTGGATCTGAGGGTACAAGACGAGGAGATAGTAGATACGGGATTCGGCAGATGATCGAGTCTCCAGTGGCGATGTATGCATGGTATTCCATTTTGCTCGATACAGCTATTCTGGAATCGGTATCGGCACATAGCGAAATATGGTACGACCCCGTTTCCGCAACCGTCGTCGGAACTCATGGCCCGCGACAAGCAGTGTGAACATTGCCTCGCATCCTCCACTGGACACGCGTGGACCGGTGGTGCCACAAGAGCTCAAGTTGCCTGCTAAAGAAAGGAACCTCGCTAGCATGCCGGTTTCAATTAGATCATAGATCGAACACTACTTGTCAGTAAATGGTCAGCAGCGACGCCGTGTTCCATCTTTTCCAAGGGGGTGGCGGAACGTGGAATTTGGATATACAGTCGCAAAAGAAATTAAGGCCCTAGTCTTCAACCCCCCCCTCCCTTTACCCCCCAAATCCAGTATGTTCTTCCCACCCTCCTATGTTTTTCTTAGAAGGAACCATTGGCTATTGGCAGCCGTCACCTCCGAACGTCCTTCACCAATGACAACGACAACCTTCTGTGGTTCTCCACGTTCATCAAAGTCGTCGACTGGCCCATCGCCATGCCAACTACCTATGCGCCCGACATCGATTCCATCGCCTTCAGAGTGTCGCACCCAGGAAACATCTGTAAACACCACACACGTCAGGACGTGCACAAGGCTGAGCAGTAGTACATGCGGCTCATCAAGACTCTCACATACACTGGCCTCAAGGCTGTTGGCCGACGAGGAGAAGCGCTTGGTCATCTCCTCGTCTTTTTGGGCAGTATATACATTTATGCAAAGTAGACAGTTTGTTTTGTTTCGCTGTAGAAGCTATTCTCAATTCTATCCATGTTTTTCCATCTGACTTTGAGATTCTATCAAAAATTACTGACCGAATATGTGTGCAACTTACTAAATTAAGCTTCAAGGGTGCTCTGGTAGTGTTCCAGACCATTTGAATGTTTTTTATTAGAAGGTCACAAAAAATTTTAAGGCCTCTGGCGGATGCCCCCCCCCCCAACCCTATATCCGGGATCCACGTTCCGCCACCCCCTTGATCTTTTCAATTCCTTCTGATGGTCACGTAGAGTCGTACTATCACTGTGCTTACATCAACTTGAAGCTTACATACAACATCATTAACCTATTGGCGCAGTCGGAACAACTACACCTGCACTGCGCATCCAGATAATGGTTGCCTTGAACAGGATGGCTTCTCCCGCTAAGTATTAGCTCCACACTGATCCACCGTGACATAGCGAACCTGAGAGTTTCTATGCCATCAATCCCCCGAAGATAAAACTCTGGTTCACGATAGGAGTCCGAGTCAACGGCAAGAATAAACAAACGATCAGGCAGATCCATCATCTCACTTCAGCTTCACCGTATGTCACCAGTCACCTGTCGTCTTGAACCAACATGGACTACTTGCAGAGTTATTCTTGGGTTCACTTGTGTCAACTTTCAAGCGCATATAAGGAGAGTGGTTGTTTTAGCGTCCCCCATCCATTTACTTCACGGCATACTATCGTGTACGCTCATCCCTTCCGTTCTTGGGCCTGCGCAATTTTCTGATCCCTGCTTCCACAGACGCAGCACTCGTCTTCAAGTTCTATCCATGTCCAGCCTTGGTGAGGCATTGCAAATAGGACACCCGTCCTTCACAGATTATCACTGATACACTTGCCAGTAACACCCATCTCTGCTCCAAATGGCTTCGGGGTTCAGAACGATAACAAATTCCCTATCGAAGTCGTGCACCCTGATGGTAAAACGACGACAAAGATCCCGCCTGGCGGAACACACGATTTCCCAAACACGGGAAAATATTTGATTCAACATGAAGGCAATCCGCCGACGGTGGTGATAACAGTCGACTATACCAGTGCCGGAGTCAATTGCGAACAAGCTACCACCCAACCCAGTAGCATCAAGATAACCAACAAATTCAATTGAGAGGTGATTCCGTTGTGCTCTTGTCTGGAAATACGACCATCTCATCCGCTGTTGTCAGTCCACGGCCCTGGAACAGCTTACTAGCACTAGTAACCGCCTGGATTGTGCTTGTATTGAAATGTGATGATATATTCATCTCCACGAAAACGGATCTAATTACTAAGCCCCGGGCCTAGTTAGTACGGTGCGAGCCCGAATGTTTTATATCGAGAAAATTTCTACAGATGCTGGATAGCTGACATGCGGTTGCGGCCTTGCTGGAGCCTGCGGCCAAGTGTAAACCTAACATATAATGATAATTTTTCAATGAAGATTTAAGCAGTTGAAGGTGTATCTTCCAAGGTAGATTTTTTTTTAAGCCGTCCGGGACATCCCCCCCCCTTCCCCTGTCAGAATATTCCAAGAAAGACATATACAAATTCGGTATTTTTTACAAGAACAGTGTCCCTTCGTCTAGTACGCCCTGTGCCATACCACTGCTAAGCACGCCTGTTAAGCTATACGCGCATGCTTTGTGCGTTCATGGAGCTCACAACATCAACTCCTTGGGGCGCAGGTATAGTTGCAGCATGCGAGATGAAACTGCGCGTTCAAATTAATACTCAATGAAAACTAAACATCGCAGTTAACGTACCCAAGATGTTTCGCATCCATTGAACCCGCAGCCTGAGTGCATAGCAGTGTTCGAGCCCTGGACTTTGCTTCACTCTCGACGATGTCGCCGCAAATGCAGGCGTACATCTCGGCCGTATCCCGAGTTCTTCGAGTGCGTCCACTGCGACGTGTCGGAAGTGCCTCAAGGGTAAATTCGGTTTGATTTATCGCAACCAAGGCCGACCTGGACGCTAGTACAAGTGAGTCACGTTGGTCAGACTGAGAAAAATCGTCAAATAACTTACTGATTATAGACTCTGCAGACTCTTCGTCAGTGTGAACTGAATCTGTTTCATCGATTTCGGTCACAGACGGTCGTGGATTTACAGAATGGGCTGAAAATTCTTGCGTTACAACACAGTCACCTAGTTCAAAAAGGTCAGAACTGTCGTCGTCGCTACTATCCGAGTCAGAATTCGAGCTGGATTCGGATTCGGATGAAATCTCTGCATCGTGGTCCTCATTCTCTGATAATTTCGTGGCAGCAGGATTGTCCGGCGTGATAGAATTTCTAGATAAACAAAGCGGCTTCGTCAGGGACGCAAACGATGATGAAAAAGACCAAAAATACACTGACGAAAAGACTTGCCGAGTGCTATTGGCTTTGGAGATGACCAGATGTTCTGAGTTGAAGTTGAATGAGAAAGATGGGGGGACGGCAGACATCTCAAAGAAATACAGAATGACTTCGTTCATAGCTGATCAATTGTCCAACTCTATTACAGGTGCAACTGATGAGTTCGGCGTTGCTGCAGGGCCTTGAAGATAGATTTTGGAAGCATCTGTATTAAATTTTTTTAGGCTCTGCCGGACATCCCCCCCCTCTACCTCGGGTCACGGGTCAACATCTCGGGGCCCCCTTGGTATCTTCCCGAGCTGAAACCAGGAGAGGAGCGTGTTGTCGCACCTAAGGCAAGACACTAATTAGTGACAGGACCCCTTCTAAGGCTCTCCCAAGGCCGCGAACTTTAGCTATGAATAGAGTAAGTCCCACCTCAGATCCTTTGGCTCTGCGAGGCATTCCCGACTGAAAACTGCTGAAAAGAATCAGCGCTCTGGCTGACTGCTGGCTGTCGCTCCTTACATTTCTCTGTAAGTCTTTAGCGCCCTCGTTCTAAGTATTATTCCCACACCGATAGAGTCCGCCCCGGTCCGACGCTGTAGCTTTTGACTCCAACGTGTGCAGCAGCCACGGTCAAGCTGAGGCCAGCGAGGAAGGTAGGACGATCTCGTACATCTTTTGGGGGACTTGGAGGAGTGGTGGGTCGAAGATGGGATTAATCGTATGTGAGTCAAAGGACGGGAGAGAACGCGCTCCCAGTTTCTTAGCTTGATGAATCCAGAACTTTCTCCTCCTCTCTGAACCGACGTCATCCTCCTCCTCCTCCTCCGCTCTAACCTCCCTTTCCAGCCAGGGTAGACGACTAGTCGTAGTATCAACTTGTGTTCCCCAATCCTGTCTGGTACCCCCTTCTTCCTGTCCTGCATTTCCTCGCCGTTTCAATCCCTTTGCTCCCCCTAGTCAATCCAGGATGGCCTTCCGCATTAACGCGCTCCACCCCGTAATCTCACCCCATTTCCAGTCGGTCCCAGTGTGGTTTGATAGCTGCTGTGGGGAAAGAGAAAGAGGTGGATGAAGCTGTGAGGGAGGAGGACGACTGTGTCCGTGCGGGAAAGAGGGTTTGAATCATTCTTCTTTCCGCTGGTTCGTGCTACCCTCCACACCGAAGAACATCGTGCGGAGGGTTAAGCGCAAGCGGACGCCATTCGGTAAAGTATGCGGATGCTTGGAGGGTTTGAGCTTGGGTGTATTTGGTGGTGGAGTGATGTTGTCGTCGTCGATCGGATGGATGGATTAAAGGGGGTTATTCGAACATGATAACTTTCTCGAGCCCTTCTGCGCATAATATGAGGCTTCCCGCGAGTGTTACATAGATCCCGGCGGCGTCTTCTTCGTCAATGCGAGCGCCCGATGTCTCTCTAAGAACCCCCGCATCTTCACCTTCACTTCCGAGCTAGTCCTCTTCCTCATCGTTCTCTGGTCTCCGACGGTGTGCATAATTAGGCGACGGTGGGCCACCCGTACGATCAGTCAGCGCTAGTCAGCTCTAGCCTGAGCAAAGCGCGTCCTCCCTGCGATTGAGTTTGAGCGTCCGAATGTCAAATATGGATGCAGCATACCATGGAACCACAACATATGTTCAATTATAAAGGTGCGTGTGCTCTTCTCGCGCGGAGGGATCGAGTGGAGATGGTGAGCATGCCACTTGTGTGCCGAAGGCAAGTTGATAGTGGGCTGGGCGAGAGTTGAGCCGGTTGGAGTGGCAGCAGTACCTGATGGCAATGGTCGGGTTGTCAATGGGGTCGCGTGATGCAGACTGGAGTGATGGTAGGCGGCCATTGATTATCCCCAGGAAAGGATGATAATTCTTGACAAACAACAAACAACTTGAACAACCTCTTCTCCTCCTTCTCCGACGCGTCGTTGAAAGGCTCCCAAACGCGCAAAACCAGTTGATCTGCTGCTTCAATAGATTCTCAACGGCACTGGAATAGCGCTAATTCATATCGGTTCTATCAGCAACGACCTTTTCCCTGCAAACATCGCACAACTTTCTCTACGACCTGTGGTTTCGGACCAGCCATAGCTCACGCATCGCACCTCCCCCTGCTTCGGGGTCCAAATATCTTGACATGTGATGTTTAAGGTTACTTGAAAAAATTACCCGGGTGTCTGCGAACCATGCGCGCTTTTTATGTGAGGCGCTACAAGTTTGTCCTCCAGGAATACCTCCACTATCTCTCTTGTCTATTCAATGGAACTAGTAGTGAAGTTGTGTTTCGTGAGTCATTCCAGCATCTCTTTGTAGCGATTGACAAAGCAAATTTTCATCTTTACAGATTGTAATTTTCTACCCACAGTCTAGACGTCATCGCTTCAAGTTCTCCCTCACCTTCGGGACACTACAAGGACCTATCAAAAAATCTCCGGGCGTCTTCTAATGCCTCAGTCATAGTATCACTTCGACTTTGGAGCTGTTTCCATGGGTAATTGCACGTCCCTGAGCACGTAAAGCCGGGAATTTTCTTTCTGGTTTCTTTCTTCCCTGATATTTCGCTAGGGAGTTGAGGCGTACTTCACGCTTCTACATTCGCTTAGGTGAACTTCGCCGACACGCATTTTTTTTACGCACTACCCATGGACCCGAACGCGTCCAGGACCTCTATTCGTCATTCCATCAGCATGTAGGCTGTAGAGATATTATTTGAACAGGATCGGTAGCGGGGTGCCAGCTTCAAGTCTCCGTTGTTAAGTCTGTGCCCGCAGCATCAGAAGGGCAGTGAGGCGTTGAAAGAATACGTGAGTCGTGTGTTTTGTTCTGCTTCCGAGTTTTGGGGGTTACTTAGAGTACATAGGTCTGTTTGTAGAGCGTGGATTGGACGGAACTGGCGAAGCCTCAAGCATCGGAAGCTTCTATCGTGCCGAAGGAAATTCCACAGGTGCTCCTTTAGGCTTTCGTACTCGGCATATTCTAAGAAACGTCCCACACAAGGCTAGGGATGTCGAGGACAAGCCTGTTCGTTCTCTCGTCTTGCCCAACTCATAGGGCCGACAAGTCAGTTGCTTCATCGACGAAGTCCATGAAGGTTCCTCGCTCAAACCTTGGCCGAATTACTCTGACTACGTATGTATATGCGCACTTAGACACCCTCACTCTTCTTTCAGAACCGAATCCGGCCTTCACGATCGAGACCGCTGAGATTGAGAAACGAAGATTGCACGGTGGAGGACTCAGGAGGAGTCTTTCTGACAAACATGAATCAAACAACTCTTTTTCCCAACTTTCGCTGTCACCATATGCATACTACACACAACTTGACAGCCGACTCCGACCCACTTGAATTCACTGTAGGGTTCTTGCTATTGTTGTATAGCTTTGTCCACGCTCATGGACAGGAGGTGTCGGAATGGAAAGGTGACGCGGCTTTCTTTACGAAAACGCCCTCTGATACCCACTTATTCACTGGATGGTACTTGAGCATGGTGAGCAACATTGAGGATTTTTTGATCTTCGGGCGATTATTGATTGGGCTTGAAGCCATCGTAATCTAATCATGTTTGCACAGCACCGAACAGATTGTGCCTAGTAATTAAACGCCCGGTGCCAATCAAACTCTTCCGCTCACCACCTAGTAGCACCGTTGAAGATAGCTCTCTCAATGGCCCCAACCGCAGCTGGATCCGACGGAAGATCTGCGTCTTCATCTGGGCAAGGCTCATCAGACGGGCGGGGTGGAGCGGTAGTACTCGTTCTCGTCAGAAAACTCGGCATACTAACGCATTATACAGATTGAAAGTCCTGACACGAGCAGTCCTCGTTACAGTTGCGTCGTCTTCTATGAAATATTGTTCCGATTCGGATTCTCATACAATTTTTTTGCTTGATCAGTATACTATCGCCTATTCACCAAAGACAGTCCAATTGCAACGAACAACCCGATCTATGCAAACAACCTATTCGTCAGTCGCACTCTTCTGAAACTCGTCGCTCCCCCACGTGCCGCTTTATCCATCAAAAAGCATCTCTGCAAGATCGAGGGACTGTCGGAAGCTACAAATACCACACTCTTCGAATCGATTTCAAGTCAGACAGCTGTTACGGAGTCCTTTCGATTGGCTCTCAAGGAGCCTTTTGGCCCGGGGATATCTGAGGACGACCCCATGGTTCTAGTAGTTGAAGCGGAAGATGCCGAAAAGCGGTCAGCGAGCACGGTGCAATCGAAGGGTCTCCCTGAGGCTGTGACGCCCGAGCCTCGTTATGGTGCGAACGGGAATTTTATCATATCTCGTGCACAACCGCGTTACTCATTACCGTCAATCAGTTTACTACCGGCTTTACGAGGAAGAAGGAGCAATGACTTCCAAAACATCCTTTGACCCGGATGATTCTTCCTTGGGTCACATTAACACGCTCTCTATCGCGCCACCTCAAACGGTGTCCTCTCTGAGGTCGCAGATTGTAAAAGCTGAGGGCATCGCTGATCGCAAGATTCAACTGTTTGGGGATATGGACGGCGAGGTGCCGATGAATGATAATGACCACTTAACTTTCCGAGCACAGGTCTATCCGGGACACGTTGAAGATGAGCCCATAACTCTTGTTTGTAGCCAAGAGAAGGCCGAGAAAAAGCAGAAGAACGCCCTGGGTCGAGTAGTGCGAGACCCAACCTTTAATAAAAAGCTTCAAGGCTTGCTGCTAATGAGTGAGTAAAGTTATCGTATATTGAAAACACTCTTATGCTCCTTTCAGATCCACGTCCGGATATTCAAGCAAACTGGCTCCCCTTCGCGGCGAACGAAATTCTGTATACAAACGGCGTCAAAACGACAGGTTACGCAATCCCTGGGTTTAGTAAGTATCTTCTTAGCAGTACAAATATGATTCTCATGCTTTTGTAGCCTATCCTGGATACATGGCGATGAATTCCGCTGGTAGAAAAGGCTGTGAGTTTACTCTATTTTTAAATCTTTGCTGACTTAACATTGATTGAATCGGTCCGCTAGTCGTCTATGATTGTAAGTGGCAGGTGCTTATCTGCTGCTCTTTAATTCTGATTTTCTCCACCACTGCCTAATAGCGCATGCCAGGCTCTGCTAAGAATGATACCGCTCTTATGTCTTTCAGCCATCTCCAATCTCACCACTTTATCTCAAATCCCACTGCTTCACTTGTGTTTACCAGACGCATACTATATTTCCACATTTTATCCGAAACCAGTAGAAGATTTGTTGGTTTTCAGGTCAATTTACCCGAGAGGCTTTTGAGCCATTCCCGGGGTCTGTGCCTGTCCAAGCACATTAAATCCATCACCATCGTCCCTCGTCACTTTGTCGTTGCTTTGTCGTTACTGCTTATTCTATTACCCGATTTCGAAAATTCTTCACTGTTCGACTAGGTGAACTTCATAAAGTCAAGCAACGACAATTTTGTTATTCGATAAGAAGTGAATTTCAAAATACACACATTTCATCAGTCCGACAATGCGTGTTTTGGTCTATTTTTATCTGTCTTGAGCACTGGCACGTGCCATAGCCTATATCGACTCAGCAACGAGACCCAGTGAATGAGTCACTTGCACGTACCTTTAGTGCGGAAGGCTTTCTTTTACAAAAGGGAAGGGAATGGTGTGTGACTTGGACTCCAGCAGCAGCAACGATCGAGTTGAGGCCAGCTAGAAGGAGGTATCATTCCAGCGAGGGAGGTAGGGCGGTCTCGTACATCCTTTGGAAACTTGGGGGTTGTGCTGTGCTGCGAGGTGCTGGAGGAGTGGTGGGTCGAAGATGAGTTGAAGGGGACTGAGTCAAAGGATGGGAGAGAATGAGCTCCCACTTTCTCAGCCTGATGAACCGGTCTTTCGCCTCACTTCCATACCAAAGAAGATCGTGCCGAGGGCTAAGCGCAAGCGGACGCCATTCGGTAAAGTATGCGGACGTTTGGGGGTTTGAGCTTGGTGGTGTAGTGATGTCGTCGTCGTCGCGGCCTCCTCTTGGACGGCAAGACACGGGGGCCCGAGATGGTGTTCCCTTTTTGGGGTGACAAAGATTGGCATCGGATGGGGTGACAAGATGAACCACAAACTGAGGAAGTATACCAGAGGTGGCTGAGTAACCTTCAACGAGAGTTTGTCATGGTTTTTTCATCGTATCTAAAACTAACTTTGCGAAGAAGGGAGGGTCGAGGAGGGTAGCTAGCGCTCGATTCATGTACTGGCTTCGAAAAGGAGGCTTGAGGCCTTTGCTGAGTCTTGAATAATGCCGATATTTGACGACCGCGAGAGGTGTCAATGTGGACGACGACCGTTCAACTAGCCAGAACGCTCGTTGCGACTTATGCTGGAAGCACCGAGGCATCTGCACATCGCCCTTCTGACAACCTCCGAAAGGTCGATTCGTGAGCTAGCCATTGGTTTGTATGGTGGTTGCCATCGCATCCGAGTCGAAAAGCTCAGAGGGAGAACTTCAGGTCGGATTAGTTTTCTGAAGGTGGTGGGTTTTAGAGAAGTTCAATGGATTATGTGGTAGCCTATAGCATAGAGCGAGTCAGCAACGAGACTCAGTGAATGAGTCGCATACACGTACCTTTGGTGTGAAAATAGTGTGTAGCTTTGGACTTCCAACAGGAGCAACGATCGAGCTGAGGCCAGCGAAGGAGGTAGGGCGGTTTCTGACATCTTTTGGCGGATTTGGAGGTTAGAGGAGTGGTGAGTCGAAGATGAAGTCAAAGGGGACGTGGGGGAGAGAAATGCGCTCCCACTTTCTCCAAGTCAGCCTGATGAATCTACTCTTCCGCTGATTCGTACTCCCTTACCCACCCTCGGCAGCCTGTGATAATCCAGCAAAATGTTTCTCCTCTTCTCTAACACCGACATCATTCTCCTCCCTCTCCCAGCAGCAGCGGCCAGGCGGATAAACCGTGGTATCAACTTGTGTTCCCCAATCCTGTTTGGTTCCCCCTTCTTCCTTTCCTGCTTTTCCTCGCCGTTTCAATCCCTTTGCTTCCCCGAGTCAATCCAGGATGCCGTCCGCATTAACGCGCACCCCATTTCCAGTTTATCCCCAATGTAAATTGCCAGCTGGTGCTAGCTGCTGTGGGGAAAGAAGAGGAAGAATCCATACGGAAAGTGGAGGATGACGCTGTGAGGGAAGAATCTTTCTTTCCGCTGGTTCGTGCTCCCTTCCACACCGAAGAAGATCGTGCCGAGTGATAAGCACAGGCGGACGCCGTTCAATAAAGTAGAGGGTTTGAACTTGGTGGTGTAGTGACGTCGGAGGGGGTTGTTCGAGTATGGGTGTGACGACGTTCTCGAGCCCTTCTGCGCGTAATCTGAGGCTTGGCGCGAGTCTTAGATCCCGGCGTCGTCTTCTTCGTCATTGCGAACGCCCGATCTCGCTCCAATAACCCCACGCATCTTCATCTTCAGTTCCAAGCTTGTCCTCTTCCTCATAGTTCTCTGGTCTCCGACGGTGTGCATGATTAGACGACGGTGGGCCACCCGTACGAACAGTCGGATCTAGCCTGAGCAAAGCGCGTTCTCCCTGCATTGAGTTTTAGCATTTGAATGTCAGAACGTACGGGTGCAGCGTACCATGGACCCATAAGTTGCCATAACATATGGTCAAATATCAACGTTTCAACATGCGTGTGCTCTTCTCGCGGGGAGGGATCGAGTGGAGATGGTGAGCATGCTTGTGTGCCGGAGGCTTGAAAGTGGGCTGGGCGAGAGTTGGGTCGCTTGGAATGGCAGCATCCCGATGCCAATGGTCGAGTTGCCAATGGCGTCGCGAGGTGCAGGCTGGGGCGATGTATTGTGTTACTCCAAAAAACGTTCTGTGAGGTGGTGTACTGGTAGGCGGCCATTATATAAACTTGCAAGTGATTTGAGAAGCTCGAGGAAGAGATGGTGGTAAGAAGGATGATAATTTTTGACAAACAACAAACAACCTCTTTTCCTCCTTCCCCCGACGCGCCGTTGAAACGCTCCAAACGCGCAAACTCAGTCAATCTGCTACTTCAATGTAAATTGGGAACGACACTCAAATAGCGCTGCTTTATATCAGCTGTAGCTGCATTGGCCTTTTCTCTGCAAAACATCGCACGACTTTCCCTAGGACCTGTACTTTCGGACCAGCCACAGCTCACGCATCGCACCTCCCCCCTGCTTCGGAATTCGATTATCTTGACCTGTGATGTTCAAGGTTGCCTGAAAAATTTGCCCGGGTGTCCGCGATCACCATGCGCGCTTTTTGCGCGAGCCGAAAGGTGGCTAGACGACATCGCTTCTCCCTCGCCTTCGGAAGACCTATCAAAATATCCGCGCGTTTCCTAATTTCTCAGTCATAGTATAAGCTCAGTTTTAGAGCTGTTTTTATGGGCAATTCATAAGAAGTGTACACTCGGAGCACGACAATGAAAGCAAAGCCGTACCCAAACACGTCAAACAACATCGAGCAATACCCTGTGAGTATGCCAAATATCCAGCCCACCCATATAAAAATATTCATGCTGCATAACAAAGCTCGCCGACTTCGTGCCGGATCCAGGTCATGTACCGTGGACAACTTGTGTGCTCCTCTATACATTCCAGCCGGAAAGCGATTTTCAGGCTTATTTCGCTCTTCCCTCAATATTCCCTGATTATCTGCGTAAACATCCTGGATTAACGGACATGTAAGACTTGGAAGACTCCGGTTGATCACTCCTACAGCTTTCGTATTCGAATGGGAGCGTCGGCAGAAGTAGACTCCGGCGCTCTACGCTTACGCTGTTCTGCACATCCTCAGCCCTATCACGGTGGCATGTGCACCTGCTACACAGCTCAAGACACCGCTGTCCCTTTATGATTGGAGGTTGGCCCGGTTCAAACGATAACTGCACAACAGAAAGTACGCATCTTCACTCACTCGGGATGCGATGCTCATTGCTACGCCTTTAACGTCTTTGTGTAAAGTCAATGATAGGTGAGGAGATTCTTCTTTGAATCTTTTGTTCGATAAAGCTACAATCTCCTGCAGGTATGTGACGAAAACATCAGTATTAGACGTGGTCCAAAACACCATTGTGAACTTGACAAAACATGGGCAGGTGGAAGAGGGCAATTACTCTTCGTCGTCATCCTTGACGAAAGCCAGCGTCGACTGACTCGGGATTCTTGCTGGCGGCCTCCGAGTCCATCACCTTCATCCCATCCGATTAAATTTCCTCTCTTTTCGTGCATCGGCCTTTTACTTGCATCCTCCTGGGCCGCGGCGGACGTCCATGGCACCCAATGCGTGTTATCTTGTTGGCTTTGAACAGAGAGTAGGATGTGCATGCCATCGTTACTGGGTGATTTAACGCGTGGCCGCATGGCATACCGGAGACTCTTCAGCTCAAGCTCAAGTCCAAAGAGCAGTGAGGTGTGCACCCATCTATTGAGGCCAACTTCGCAAGCGATGTCTCTGGGCCAAATAGTGTATATAGAGAATGAGCAGCCCAACTTCGACTTGCAGTGTACGCGGGTCAAATCTCTGCTACATGAACTCGCCTCGATTCTCGAATGAGGTCGTCGGACAATTTCGGACTGAAAATATAGGACGGATAGATGCGCAGCAATCATCGAGAGAGGACCCGGGGCTAGCGGTTCATCAAGGGAACAGAGAATGGCTGGACAGAGACTGCCGAAGACCACTGGAACTGAGAAACGAGGACTCCTGCATGGAGGAGTCTTTTTGACAAACATGAATCAATAAGAAAACTCTTTTTCCTAACTTTCGCTGCCACCATATGCGCACTACACACAACTTGACAGCTAACTGCGACCGATTTCATCTACTCCTTCACTTTGGATCCTCCAATCTCGTAGTGCGGTTCTCGCTATTGTTGTATGGCTTTGTCCATACTCACGGATAGGGCGTATCGGAGCGGAGAGGTGACGCGGCTCAGACTTTTTTTGCTAGTGACGAAACCACCCTCCGATACCTACTTATTCACTGGATGGTACCAAGCATGGTGTGATCATGGGACGATTATTGATTGGGCAAGTCCTCCTAATCTAATCATGT